TCCCTCTTGGCAAGGGGAATACGACGGGGCCGAATTTTAATGGGTCGGGCATCCCCAGTGTCGATGTCGTGCTGAACCAGGTGCGTTTGCCCTACCTCATCTTCCCCCCAAGCGAAGTCAAACAGCAGCTGCTTTAACTGTCTGTTGTCTCTCATCCAGACCTTGACAGTTTTTCAGCCACACAGCCTCAACGGCGTCGATAACTTCCTCCTTCCCCCCGTCGGGCTGATGGGGTGAAGGAGCCAGTGTGTTTTGGGCTACTGGGCTGCCTGTGCTTGAACCATTATGGGGAGTGAAGGTCGTCGCCGCCGGAGACAGCTGCTGGGATGGCACAACGACCAAGGGAGCAGCCGGGACAATAACACACCCACGAACACAGCACACAATACCGGGTTGTTACAATATGTTTTAGTGACTCGGATTGGACTTGAATTTGAAGCTCAGAAATTCATTAGGCCTACCTTGAAAATCTGACATTTCCTCAATTTGGTGATTTAAAAATCCTTGTAATTATTGTAGCCAATTTATAAGTTCTCCTGCTCCCTTATAATTATCTGTGATTTAATTTTTGATCTGTTTTTGTGAGAGATGTGGCCACTTTCGTTTGTTTCCCGCCGCTTCAATTTAAAGGTGTTGCACTACTCTGTTGCGTCATTATGATGACGAGTCGACAACATCTAATGCTGGCTTCAACTTACATACAAATCCTAACATTACGAAAGGCACCTGTTTGTTTTGGTCGCTTTCTCATTATAAAAACTGCAATGGTGATATTCAAAGGGCGAGATTAATGCTAGCTACCGCTATTCATGGCTTTATTATGTGCGCCTGAAAAATCTAAAGGAAAACTCATAAAAAACACTTTAGGAAAACATTTGAGCTGTGTTCGAATACCGATACTAACATACTGTATACTACAGTGGGGAAAAAATTATTTAGTCAGCCACCAATTGTGCAAGTTCTCCCACTTAAAAAGAAGAGAGAGGCCTGTAACTTTCATCATAGGTACACGTCAACTATGACAGACAAAATGAGGAAAAAAAATCCAGAAAATCACATTGTAGGATTTTTTATGAATTTATTTGCAAATTATGGTGGAAAATAAGTATTTGGTCAATAACAAAAGTTTCTCAATACTTTGTTATATACCCTTTGTTGGCAATGACACAGGTCAAACGTTTTCTGTAAGTCTTCACAAGGTTTTCACACACTGTTGCTGGTATTTTGGCCCATTCCTCCATGCAGATCTCCTCTAGAGCAGTGATGTTTTGGGGCTGTCACTGGGCAACACAGACTTTCAACTCCCTCCAAAGATTTTCTATGGGGTTGAGATCTGGAGACTGGCTAGGCCACTCCAGGATCTTGAAATGTTTCTTACGAAGCCACTCCTTCGTTGCCCGGGCGGTGTGTTTGGGATCATTGTCATGCTGAAAGACCCAGCTACGTTTCATCTTCAATGCCCTTGCTGATGGAAGGAGGTTTTCACTCATACATGGCCCCATTCATTCTTTCCTTTACACAGATCAGTCGTCCTGGTCCCTTTGCAGAAAAACAGCCCCAAAGCATGATGTTTCCACCCCCATGCTTCACAGTAGGTATGGTGTTCTTTGGATGCAACTCAGCATTCTTTGTCCTCCAAACACAAAAAGTTATATTTTGGTTTCATCTGACCATATGACATTCTCCCAATCCTCTTCTGGATCATCCAAATGCACTCTAGCAAACTTCAGACGGGCCTGGACATGTACTGGCTTAAGCAGGGGGACACGTCTGACACTGCAGGATTTGAGTCCCTGGCGGCGTAGTGTGTTACTGATGGTAGGCTTTGTTACTTTGGTCCCAGCTCTCTGCAGGTCATTCACTAGGTCCCCCTGTGTGGTTCTGGGATTTTTGCTCACTGTTCTTGTGATCATTTTGACCCCACGGGGTGAGATGTTGCGTGGAGCCCCAGATCGAGGGAGATTATCAGTGGTCTTGTATGTCTTCCATTTCCTAATAATTGTTCCCACAGTTGATTTCTTCAAACCAAGCTGCTTACCTATTGCAGATTCAGTCTTCCCAGCCTGGTGCAGGTCTACAATTTTGTTTCTGGTGTCCTTTGACAGCTCTTTGGTCTTGGCCATAGTGGAGTTTGGAGTGTGACTGTTTGAGGTTGTGAACAGATGTCTTTTATACTGATAACAAGTTCAAACAGGTGCCATTAATACAGGTAACGAGTGGAGGACAGAGGAGCCTCTCAAAGAAGAAGTTACAGGTCTGTGAGAGCCAGAAATCTTGCTTGTTTGTAGGTGACCAAATACTTATTTTCCACCATAATTTGCAAATAAATTCATTAAAAATCCTACAATGTGATTTTCAGGATATTTTTTTCTCAAATTGTCTGTCATAGTTGACGTGTACCTATGATGAAAATTACAGGCCTCTCTCATCTTTTTAAGTGGGAGAACTTGCACAATTGGTGGCTGACTAAATACTTTTTTCCCCCACTGTACATACTATTAGTTCATTTTAGTATACTGTCACGAACAGTATCCATTCAGTTGAGCGTACTAGCACTTGGCCTGTCTACCAGAAGTTGATGCTATTGCAATGCAACTGCTTGTTAGCATAACAAATGACTAACTAGACATCTTACGACTTCATTAACAATGTCAATGGAGAACGCACAACGATTATACCACTTAGCTAAATTAAGAATGATGTGAATAATCAAGTCAATAAACGTTGGTTAGTTAGATAGCATCTAGTTAATATACTGGCAAGTTTGATGTATTAGTAGGCAACTAACGTTAGGTAGCTAGCTAACATACCGGTACATACAAGCAACTGCTGTAATGATATGCTTTGCGGTTCGTAAGGCTAGCGTAGCTAGCAAATTGTCAGCGTAAAGTAACTTATTTGAAAAGTCATTAGATTGCACAACATTTCTTAACATTTGTCATAATTAGTTAAAGCAATGAATTTGTATTCGCTCTTGTCAGACTTTTCCGCAAATCTGTAATGTGAAGCCACGCCCATTTCTCGAAGAATTGCATTATGGGCCCTAAAAGCACAGACATTTTTAGTCATTTAGCAGACGCTCTTATCCAGAGCGATTTACATGAGCAATTAGGGTTAAGTGCCTTGCTCAAGGGCACATCGACAGATTTTTCACCTAGTCTTAGCTCCTGAGTGGCGCAGTGGTCTAAGGCACTGCTTTGCAGTGCTAACTGTGCCTCTAGAGATCCTGGTTCGAATCCAGGCTCTGTCGCAGCCGGCCGCGACTGGGAGACTCATGGGCGGTGCACAATTGGCCCAGTGTCGTCCAGGGTAGGGGAGGGAATGGCCGGCAGGGATGTAGCTCAGTTGATAGAGCATGGCGTTTGCAACGCCAGGGTTGTGGGTTTGATTCCCACGGGGGGGCAGTATAAAAAAAATATATATATATGTATTCACTAACTGTAAGTCGCTCTGGATAAGAGCGTCTGCTAAATGACTAAAATGTAAATGTAGTCGGCTCGGGGATTAGAACCAGCGACCTTTCGGTTACTGGCACAACACTCTTAACCACTATGCTACCTGCCGCCCCAAGTAAATGTGTGTTTACTTTGTATTTTGGCGAATGTAGTACCACAAATAGAACAAAAATAACCTCTGTGGCTAGCTACTTCTTGTTCCTCACGCTAGTCAGAGCACAGTCAAATGAATGATATGGCAAGTTTTGGAGACCATTCCCCCTTCTTGTTGCAGGTTATCAGGAGTCCCTAAAACATTAAACACGAATTACAATTTCATATACATGTAAAAACGCCCATAAAAATAGATAACTGGCTAATGTTAGCTAGTAACTTGCTTGCTAAATAGCGATTTTCATAACTTTGACAAAAACGAATCATTTCTCTACATTAAAATATTCCTTGCAACTTGTTTTGCATGATTCGTTATGAGACTTGCTAAAAATTGCGTAATTCAAATCTGGTATTGGAATAAGAGAAAACATAATCAAGAGATATTCAATCCAAGCTAAATTTATTATATGCAAAATGTATGTATGATAAGTATGTTGGTTCGTATACGGGCTCACTGAAAGACCACGCAGGGCACTCAGAGAACTGATCCATTGTTATGAGTTCTTCTTAAAGTACTCTGACAGAGATAGTTCCCACTCCCTGCTGGCCAATCAGAGTAGAGACTGAGCGTGGTTTAAACTTACTCAGCCTATCCGTTGGAGCACCGGCTGGTCCCAGTCCCTTGGCGCTCCACTGTTGCCAGGCATAAGTTGTTTTGCAACTTATCCAGAAAGTCAGCACTTTTGCAGTACACGTCCTTGGACGGTTCACAGATCACAATAGAGGCAGTGTGTATGTGTCTGTGAGAAATACAAGTCTTTTCTCATCCTACCCCCTAACAGTACAATGCATTCCTTCTAAGCTATCATCACATCCAGATCCAATTATGAGAAAATAGACCCCCACAGACTATAATTACTTCCATTTGCTTACATTCTAGTATTTGCCAGCCATCTTTGCTGAAGCCCTCCATCCACATAAAACATTATTTTTGCTCCAGCCTTCGGTCGTAGTTTTGGGAACTACTCGATTGGTCATCATCGCCCTGCGTTCGGCGCTGGTGATTTGGCTCCAATGCCAAGTTCTCACCGTCCAACGGTCCCCCCCACTCCGCTTCTCACCGCTTTCATTTAATTGAAAATGAATAGGAAGCGTTGTTTCACAGCGCATTACTGCTTGCTAGTGTACACACTTTTCCTAACAACCTCATTTACCTAACCAGCTGCTTTAGTTATCCTAACCTGCTATGTAAACAAACCATCTGGAGTAACAAACCATCTGGAGTGACAAATCATCAGTATCACCACACTGGCAACAGACCCAGGTGCAGATGGTATCATGGTTTAAAATGAGCTCTTTTCACCTTTTAAAAAAGGGGAGAATTCAGACAGAAATAGAAGCAAATCAAAAGTGCACAAGAGCATCCAGACAAATACGTTTCATAGAAAAAATGCTTTATTGTATTAACTCCATACAGATTGTACACATCAGTAGATTCCGTAGGTGTGTTCCTGTCCGTCTCGGTACCTGTCCAGGTACCGTAGGGGCTGTCCATGAGGGTACTTCACCTGAGGAGGGTGGTACACAGGAGGCCGCTCAAACTCAAACACTGGCTCTTTCATGTCTGAGGGACGAAGAGAGAGAGGATGGGTGAATCTCGTCAGTCCCCCCTGATGACCTCCCGAGAGAAAAGACGATGGGCGCGTTCGACATTGCAGCCGACTTAAATGGGGAGTCGAGACTGACTGATCTATAAATCACCTTGCATCATAAACTGCTCAATATTGTTTGTAGATCAGTCAGTCAGTCACAATTTACCCATGATACATCACGATTTTCATGCTCTCAAACATGGCCTACAGTGTTCGAGAGCATCAAATCCATGATGCGTTGTGGGTAAATGGTCAGTGACAGTCAGTCGGCAGCAGTTGTCTGCACTGTCGGCTCCAATGTTGAACACGCCCCATGTTGACTTCCTCCGGAAGGCGATCAACCCATTACGGCATTATAACCGATGACGTCACCTCTCGGGATAAGATAGAACTCCCCCAACCTGCCCATCCTTCAGATCCAGTAGTCTAAGGATACTTATCACAAAATCACCCACACAATTAAATCCCCACACTAAACCTTTCCCAGAAAGAGCATTACTCAAGGTCCACGATTGTCTTGTAAGAGACATGTCTTCAACCGCTGAGCTGCAATGGAGACAAGATGCCACAGCACACACATTGCAATGAGTGTATACCAAAGTATAATGAACAAAAATATGAACGCAACATGTGAAGTATTTGGTCCCATGTTTCATGAGCTGAAATAAAAGATCCCAGACATTTTCCATACGCACAAAAAGCTTATTTCTCTCAAATTCTGTGCACAATTTTGTTTATATCACTGTTGGTGAGCATTTGTCCTTTGCCAATATAATCCATCCACCTGACAGGTGTGGTTTATCAAGAAGCTGATTAAACGGCATGATCATTACATAGGTGCACCTTGTGCTGGGGACAATAAAAGGCCACTCTAAAATGTGCAGTTCTGTCACACAACACAATGCCACAGATGTCTCAAGTTGAGGGAGTGTGCAATTGGCATGCTGAGTGCAGGAATGTCCACCAGAGCTGTTGCCAGAGAATTGAATGTTCATTTCTCTACCATAAGCAGCCTCCAACGTAGTTCTAGAGAATTTGGCAGTACTTCCAACCGGCCTCACAACCGCAGACCACGTGTAACCACACCAGCCCAGGACCTCCACATCCGGCTTCTTCACCTGCGGGTTCGTCTGAGACCAGCCACCCATACAGCTGATGAAACTGAGTATTTTTTCTGTCTGTAATAAAGCCCTTTTGTGGGGAAAAACTCATTGTGAATGGCTGGGCCTGGCTCCCCAGTGGGTGGGCCTATGCCTTCCCTGGCCCAACCATGGCTGCGCCCCTGCCCGGTAATGTGAAATCCATACATTAGGGCCTAATTTGTTTATTTCAATTGACTGATATGAACTGTAACACAGTAAATTCATTGAAATTGTTGCGTTTATATTTTTGTTCAGTATACATTTGCAAATATTAAATTACCGGCAACATTCCCAAAGGTTGTGTGTGTACTTACCGAGTGTGTTATGGAAGGTGTTGGTAACAGACTGGTCCCACTGACTCTGGAAGAAGGAGAGGCCTGCTGGAGTCATGCTGTCCTGGTGCTTCCTGTAGAACTCTACCGTCTTAAAGCTCCGCTCTGACAGAGACACACTGGGGGAACAGAGAAGGGGGGGGGGGGAGCATGTTACTGTGTGTGTTCGTCTGTCTGGGTACCCTATGGAATAAACTGATTGATGATTGATGTCATGGAGCGCGAGTGATACTTGTGTATGTCCTGTTCCTCACCATGGCGGCGGTCGGATGTCTTCATGGAAGTCGATGGTTCCTTCCTGTCTGAACAGGATGTAGACAAAGCGGTGAAAGCCGGTACCCTTGGCGGGGATCGGGGCCAGGTATTGACACAGCTCCTCTCCTGACATCACAGCCCCGCCTGGGATGTTCCCACTGGAAACAAGGAGAGGACGTCAATGACTCGCTTTTTTTTTGGCAACCAATTTGTGATTGTTGTCATTTGAAATTACAGGTGTAATAATTTTCTGATTCATCATCATAAATTAAAAACAGATTATCTAAAAAGGGTCATCATCATCCTAATCAATCAATCATCATCATATTGGTGGTTGAAGGAGTTGGCAACCCCCAGACTATTTAAACCACTGACAAGTTTGACAATATAATTATCATTATTGCAATACTCACACCAGCCAGTGCACATACTCCCCTTCACTGTCCAGCAGATGCTCATCTGAAACAAATAAATCATTGGTTTACACACAAAACATGAAGTAAATGTTTCTTTAGTCATACAGTGCCACCATGTGGACATGTTAACTGGATTACAAAATTCTTGGTATTTTCTGATGGGGTGTGTGTGTGTGTGTCTGACCTGGGCTGGTGAGCAGCAGTGTCCACATGGAGCCCTCCTCCGCCTCAAAACTGACCTGAGGCGCCACAGCAGCCTGTTAAACACAGAGGCGGGGAGGTGAAATAGGAGAACACAAGTGTCTGAACAAAGATACGATCTGTCGCTAAATCGGTTCTGAAAACTACTGCATCCCCCTACGATCCGTTTCTCTTACCTCTGTGGGGGTCAAGTGGTTCCCATAATGTACTTGTGCGGGACTGTCCTGGTCGTAGCTGACGCACAGTGTGGTGCGGGGGTAGAAGTAGGCCATGGGGAACAGATCCTTGAAGATCCCATAGTGATCCGCTAGCCTCTGGACGTGGTATGGGCCGCTCGTCTCCTCCCAGCCTGCCTGCACCCGATCCAGGGAGATCTTAACTGGAAAAACAACAAAGACCAACATCCATAATAATCAAGATGAACTGTTACGGTCTTTGAAATTAAGCTAATATGTCTGGTTCATCAAGCTTCTCCTGTATGTAGGGGCCTGGTATTCAGTAATAGCAGGCCTAGCTGGGGGAACTTACAGGTGCGCAGACGTGTGGCTCTCTCCAGCTCTATACTACGTCTGTTCTCCTTCACAACCCTCTTCCGCTCCCTCGCTTCCTTCACCCTGGAGGGCCGACAATGTGGCAGCCCGATGTTGACTCGCTCCACATCTGGAACAGAATGACACACAGGAGAGAAGACTGAGCATGCCAGACAATAAAGGGTTCAAATGTATACTGTGTAGGTTGACATTCATCTTTATATTTTAAATCTTCTAAAACTGGGCTGATAACACTACTTGAACCAGTAACTCGGCTGCAGATGCTGGACAAATGCACTACCTCCAGTGCCATAAAGCAAGGTCCAGACCTCTTGGCAGAGCCGAAGTAAACATACTGTAGAAGGAGGGCACATTAGGTAACGTTATTGTATCAGTGTATAAGAAAATACTGCGCACCATGCCCAAGGTCCTCTTGCTCCTGATACTGTCTGTAGGTCTTCCACCAGGCCGGTGTGTTCTTCGCCTCCTCAGCTTTCTTGAGGTAGCGTGTGTAGCTGCGATACTTTTCGAGTGATTCCAAGTTTTTGTAGTCTATGTCCTCATTTGGCATTGGTCCCAATGGAGCAGACCGTCGGCATAAAATTGCTGAAATTCACAAACACATATTACCACAATAAATATGATATGCAAGTAACGTTATAAGACATAAGCAGGGAGTAGCCACTAGCCAGCTATGCTCTGCAACCTTGCTTTCGGTGTTCGCTTGCGACAGGCTCGCCATTCTAATAATTCCTCAATTTGGCACCATAATTCTGTCATCAATAACATCGTACCTGCGGTTCCAAATGTCTTGGCATTGCTGACCCCTATATCTGTGCCCGTTCGCAGCACAGAGGAGAAAACCATGCGCAACGCCATTTTGGTGGCGAGTGGAGAAATGACGAAAAACGCAAACTGTAACATCCGGCATGTGGGGTATAGCCACGTATGATATTCATGCGTACCTCGTCATCATATGGAGCTTCATATGTATTTTGGCGAGGCAGATTCTTAGCAGCTGTATTCAAATCCGATACCCTACATACATTTATTGCACTGGTGAGCTACATTTACTTTTAAATGGAATCTTATAATGATAATATGTTACGTGTTTTACCTTTGATTCATAGAACTGTACTCATATTTCGACTTGATAGCTGTCTTTTTACTGTAATAATGGTTACAAAGTAGCTAACTAGCTAGCTGGCTAAGTAGTAGCTACTATGATTTCCATTAATTTGATATAGGCTTGCTAGCAACAAACTGCTGGCTTTGCTATAGCAGGGCTCAATGGTTACCTAAATTGCACGTGTGCGCCTAAGTTGAAAAATGTTGGCGCACACAAATAAATTTAGGAGCACAATTAAAAATATTTGAGATATTAAAGCAAGAATCCTTAATTTTTCTAGGTCACACAGCAAAATATGTAGGCGCCAGTGGAGGCTGCTGAGGGGAGGACGGCTCATAATAATGGTTGGAATGGAGTTGAATGGAGTGAATGGAATGGTATAAAACATATGAAAACCATCTTTATGATACCATTCCATTTACTCCATTCCAGCCATTATTATGAGCCGTTCTCCGCTCAGCAGCCTCCACTGGTAGGCGCATATGCGAGTAAAATGGTCGCACTGTAGAGCCCTGTATAGCCTATGTAGCATCATGTGACTCATGCAATGACATCCCATAATGGAAGGTCGAGTTGCTGATCAGGTCCAGCTGTCAACATGGTCATTCTCCTAAATGGCTCTTTCTCTAGTGATGCTGTTGATAAGAAATTAATGAACATGTTACAGTAGGCCAGTATACAGTAATGTTTGGGGTTTCAAGTGACATTATGATGACTACAGTATGCATAAAGCAATCTTAGAATCAATATTGAAAGCCATATCCATGTAATGTAGCTACTGTATCAGCAACCTACATGTCCTACTTCTCCCATTAATTTCTCAGATCGACTGGAGGGATGGAGGCCCACAATTTGTCCTGTATCATTTGCTTGGACCCCTTCATGGTCCCAGTCACCATCCCATGCGGTCACACCTTCTGTCGAGACTGCATCACGGCGCACTGGGACATCAAGTCCAAGTCCGACATAGGGCCGCATTGCCCTATCTGCAATGAGAAATTCACCACCAGGCCTGTCCTGAATCGCAACGTGTCCCTGTCCTTTCTGGCCGAGGCCACAGCGAACAGTGCCAGTGTGTCCAGTAGAGACACTGTACCAGTTATGAGGGGCGACATGACCAGAGCCATGGCCCTGATTATGTGTGACCGACACAAGAAACCCCTGGTGTATTACTGCCGGACAGACAACATGTGCGTGTGCTGCGAGTGTGCCATCTCCGAGTGTAGGAACCACGAGCAGGTGCTGGTGGAGCGTGAGAGGGAGAACCGAGAGGCGAGTGACAGACAGACCTTATGTGACTGTTTTTGTGGATGTCAACGAGATTAACACACACCAAAACAATTCTGCGGTCAACATTTGTGTGCTGCAGATGTCATGGAATTGAATTCATATTCTACTGCATATCCTACACCCTCAATGTGGTATTGTCCGTCTGTTTCAACAGTTACTGCTGAGGAGGAAGAGTGTGAAGGTGGGAATATGTATGGAGGAGACTGAGAGGAGCATCGCTGGGCTGACAGAAAATATTGCCAAAGCCAAGGTAAAGTCGTTTTTTTTTGTTGTGACAGTCAATACACTGTTGAAAGTACTGAAATAGTCAATGGATAGGCCTACATTGGTTCATTGAAAAAAGGTTCCCGTTCCTTGCAAAGTAGATTGGTCTGATAAGAGTCATTGTTTCAATTAGGGCTGCGACGGTCATGGAATTGTAGATGACGGTTATTTGTCAGCCAAATGTCCCGCAGTCACCATTATAATAGTCTTTTTTTAAAGACCCACATTTTCTGTTCTCCTCCACTCCTGACTGCATGTGCTGCTGCAGGGAAGGTGGGAGGTGTTGCCTAGGCAACCAAAGACTTGTTTGCTACAACACCTTGCTTGTTTCAGCAAAGAACAACAAAGTTTCATCACGTTGTAAAGAGTCTATGTTACCGTGGAAACGGACTTAACTGCATGAATGCCCGTGTGTACCGTCTTTAGTCAGCTGTTCGTTCCCCCCCCCCCCCCCCCCCCCCCCCCCCCGCTTCTGACGCTTATTTTATTTTCATGACGGTCTTCATCCATAATCGGCGGTTACACGATTATATACGGTACCAGCCCTAGTTTCAATAATGGTTTATTGGAAAGTTGGCACTAGAGTTCTTCACGGGTCTAACAGACCCGGAATTGAGTGGGTCCGGGTCCTAAACTCTGACTTTTATCTCGGATCCGAGTCGGGTCGGATATAATTGTCTCGGGTGTGTGCAATTACAATTGATTTACCTACTGGACCCATCCTCTCTCTGTGTGTGAGGTGATGAGAACTGCGCAAGCTTGTTATCTGTCAGCCAATTGCAAGTTAAAAAAAAAGTATAGCTTATGTCCAGCTGAAACTGGTTCCGGCTGTTCACCTCACGTGCTGATGAGGGGAGGGAGAGAGCAAGTTAAAGGAGCCTTTGCCTAGGCTACTGTTGATTGCGAAGATGAAGGCCTTTTTCGTTGAACTAAAATACAGCAGGTGTAGACTTTACAGTGAAACGCTGACTTACTTACGAGCCCTTAACCAACAGCGCAGAGTTAAAAAGTAAGACAAATATTTTCTAAATAAAAAAGGAAATAGTAACACAATAAAAATAATCATGAGGCTATATACAGGAAGTACCAGTACTGAGACAATGTGCAGGGGTACCAGGTAGTTAAGGTAATTGAGTTAATACAGTATGTACATGTGGGTAGGGTTAAAAGTGACTAGGCAATCAGGATATATAATAAACAGAGTAGCAGCAGCATATGTGAAGTGTAAACGTGTGTCTGTGTGAGTGTGTGGCGTCAATATCAAAAATATAAACACAACATGCAACAATTTCAACGACTTTACTGTGTTACAGTTCATATACAGTGGGGAAAAAAAGTATTTAGTCAGCCACCAATTGTGCAAGTTCTCCTACTTAAAAAGATGAGAGAGGCCTGTAATTTTCATCATAGGTACACGTCAACTATGACAGACAAATTGAGAAGAAAAAAATCCAGAAAATCACATTGTAGGATTTTTAATGAATTTATTTGCAAATTATGGTGGAAAATAAGTATTTGGTCACCTAGAAACAAGAAAGATTTCTGGCTCTCACAGACCTGTAACTTCTTCTTTAAGAGGCTCCTCTGTCCTCCACTCGTTACCTGTATTAATGGCACCTGTTTGAACTTGTTATCAGTATAAAAGACACCTGTCCACAACCTCAAACAGTCACACTCCAAACTCCACTATGGCCAAGACCAAAGAGCTGTCAAAGGACACCAGAAACAAAATTGTAGACCTGCACCAGGCTGGGAAGACTGAATCTGCAATAGGTAAGCAGCTTGGTTTGAAGAAATCAACTGTGGGAGCAATTATTAGGAAATGGAAGACATACAAGACCACTGATAATCTCCCTCGATCTGGGGCTCCACGCAAGATCTCACCCCGTGGGGTCAAAATGATCACAAGAACGGTGAGCAAAAATCCCAGAACCACACAGGGGGACCTAGTGAATGACCTGCAGAGAGCTGGGACCAAAGTAACAAAGCCTACCATCAGTAACACACTACGCCGCCAGGGACTCAAATCCTGCAGTGCAAGACGTGTCCCCTTGCTTAAGCCAGTACATGTCCAGGCCCGTCTGAAGTTTGCTAGAGTGCATTTGGATGATCCAGAAGAGGATTGGGAGAATGTCATATGGTCAGATGAAACCAAAATATAACTTTTTAGTAAAAACTCAACTCGTCTTGTTTGGAGGACAAAGAATGCTGAGTTGCATCCAAAGAACACCATACCTACTGTGAAGCATGGGGGTGGAAACATCATGCTTTGGGGCTGTTTTTTCTGCAAAGGGACCAGGACGACTGATCCGTGTAAAGGAAAGAATGAATGGGGCCATGTATCGTGAGATTTTGAGTGAAAACCTCCTTCCATCAGCAAGGGCATTGAAGATGAAACGTGGCTGGGTCTTTCAGCATGACAATGATCCCAAACACACCGCCCGGGCAACGAAGGAGTGGCTTCGTAAGAAGCATTTCAAGTTCCTGGAGTGGCCTAGCCAGTCTCCAGATCTCAACCCCATGGAAAATCTTTGGAGGGAGTTGAAAGTCCGTGTTGCCCAGCGACAGCCCCAAAACATCACTGCTCTAGAGGAGATCTGCATGGAGGAATGGGCCAAAATACCAGCAACAGTGTGTGAAAACCTTGTGAAGACTTACAGAAAACGTTTGACCTGTGTCATTGCCAACAAAGGGTATATAACAAAGCATTGACAAAACTTTTGTTATTGACCAAATACTTATTTTCCACCATAATTTGCAAACATATTCATTAAAAATCCTACAATGTGATTTTCTGGATTTATTTTTCTAATTTTGTCTGTCATAGTTGACGTGTACCTATGATGAAAATTACAGGCCTCTCTCATCTTTTTAAGTGGGAGAACTTGCACAATTGGTGGCTGACTAAATACTTTTTTTCCCCACTGTATAAGGTGCAGCGTAACTGAAGGAGCATTTTCCAATATGTGTAGAAACTGGAGGGGTCTGAACTTAAGTGTAATGTCATTCATTGACCTAGTTTTATAATTAGTCATTCTATAAGAGATTAGAGATGTCAGATACATTGGAAGTTTTTGCATTAATGCTTTATAGATGAATAACATAAAACATGCAACAACTTCAACGATTTTATTGAATTACAGTTCATATAAGGAAATCGGTCAATTGAAATAAATTAATTAGGCCCTAATCTATGGATTTTACATGACTGGGCAGGGGCGCAGCCATGGGTGGGCCTGGGAGGGTATAGGCCCACCCACTGAGGAGCCAGGCCCAGCCAATCAGAATACTTTTTTCCCCACAAAAGGGCTTTATTACAGATATAAATAATCCTCCGTTTCATCAGCTGTTCTGTGGCTGGTCTCAGACAATTCAGCAGGTGAAGAAGCCGGATGTGGAGGTCCTGGGCTGGTGTGGTTACACGTGGTCTGCGGTTGTGAGGCCGGTTGGAAGTACTGCCAAATTCTCTAAAACTACATTGGAGGCTGCTTATGGTAGATAAATGAACATTCAATTATCTGGCAACAGCTCTGGTGGACATTCCTGCACTCAGCATGCCAATTGCACACTCCCTCAACTTGAGACATCTGTGGCATTGTGTTGTGTGACAAAACTGCACATTACACGTGGTCTAAAACTGCACATTTCAGATTGGCCTTTTATCCCCAGCACAAGGTGCACCTGTGTAATGATCATGCTGTTTAATCAGCTTCTTGATATGCCACACCTGTCAGGTGGATGGATTATGTTGGCAAAGGAGAAATGTTCGCTAATAGGGATGTAAACTAGTTTGTTGCCAAAATTATAGAGAAATACATTTTATGTGCGTATGAAACATTTCTGGGATCTTTTATTTAAGTTCATGAAACATGGGACCAACACTTTACATGCTGCGTTTATTCAGTATAATAAGCGTTTCAAAGAGCTGTCAGTCAAGGCGAGCTCATGAATATAAGCTCCCTGCCCACTCAACCTGTCTTTTCAAACTTCCTGGTAGTTAGACATGAATGTAATTTATAAATAATTTCTATCCAAAACATATTATGGGTGATATTTTAGTCACTCAAAAGGCTATTTTACATGGGAATCAGAATGACTGTTCGGGACCTTTTAAAATGTATTTATGCGTATTGGTCGGTGGGAAAGCTCACGGATCCATTTCCAAATGGGTCCAACTTTTTGGACCCGTGAAGACCTAGTTGGCACCTTGCTCACTGCAGACCAAACTACAATCCAAAATGCTATCCTTATGGTAAATGTCCCCCCCCCCCCCCCCCCCATTCTGTTCTCATCCCCAACTTCTCCCCCTCTGTAGGTGACCCTGCAGCAGACCTCCCACTGGGTGAATGCCAAGTTCTCCATGCTGTTGAAGGTCCTAGCAGAGAAACAGGCGTCTACAGGGAACTTCATTGAGCAGGAGGAGGCTTCTCTCTCCCAGGCAGAGGTCAGGCTAGAGGAGCTGCAGGAGAGGGCCCAGCAACTCAGGGAAAGCCAGGGCCAGATCGCAGCCCTTAGCAACCTGTCCGACACCCAGCTAATACAGGTTAGAAAATACAGTATGCTAATCAGCTCAGAGCTGGCTTTGCATGTAAGCATCCTAGAACACTGATTGTAGATTAGGAGACTCAAGCCGAGTATACACCCAGCAGACTAATAAAAAATGTAAAGATCGACAACATTGATATTTAGCACTAACACCGTCTATCTGCAATGTTTTACCCTTCTGGTCTCAGATCAACAGTAGAAAAAAAGAAGGCTTAAATATTTGATATTATATTGTATATTCTTCAACGATATTAGGGGAGAATACCCAAATCGACATTTATTATAATAATAATAATAATAATAATAATTAATCATGATAATTAATCAAATTTCTATAGCGCTTTTCATAAGAATCTCAAAGCGTTTCAAAAGCAAAAAAACTAACAACCAATACGTCATCATGAGTAGCCTAGCTATACAGGGAGGGAAAAAAGTATTTGATCCCCTGCTGATTTGGTACGTTTGCCCACTGACAAAGACATGATCAGTCAGAGACAGAATAACAACAAAAAAATCCAGAAAAACGCATGTCAGAAATGTTATACATTGATTTGCATTTTAATGAGGGAAATAAGTATTTGACCCCCTCTCAATCAGAAAAATGTCTGGCTCCCAAGTGTCTTTTATACAGGTAACGAGCTGAGATTAGGAGCACACTCTTAAAGGGAGTGCTCCTAATCTCAGCTTGTTACCTCTATAAAAGACACCTGTCCACAGAAGCAATCAATCAATCTGATTCCAAACTCTCCACCATGGCCAAGACCAAAGAGCTCTCCAAGGATGTCAGGGACAAGACTGTAGACCTACACAAGGCTGAAATTGGCTACAAGACCATCACCTTGCAGCTTGGTGAGAAGGTGACAACAGTTGGTGCGATTATTCGCAAATGTAAGAAACACAAAAGCCTGTCAATCTCCCTCGGCCTGGGGCTCCATGCAAGATCTCACCTCATGGAGTTGCAATGATCATGAGAACGGTGAGGAATCAGCCCAGAACTACACGGGAGGATCTTGTCAATGATCTCAAGGCAGCTGGGACCATAGTCACCAAGAAAACAATTGGTAACACACTACGCCGTGAAGGACTGAAATCCTGCAGCGCCCGCAAGGTCCCCCTGCTCAAGTAAGCACATATACAGGCCCGTCTGAAGTTTGCCAATGAACATCTGAATGATTCAGAGGAAAACTGGGTGAAAGTGTTGTGGTCAGATGAGACCAAAATCGAGCTCTTTGGCATCAACTCAACTCTCCGTGTTTGGAGGAAGAGGAATGCTGCCTATGACCCCAAGATCACCATCCCCACCGTCAAACATGGAGGTGGAAACATTATGCTTTGGGGGTGTTTTTCTGCTAAGGGGACAGGACAACTTCCCCGCATCAAAGGGACGATGGACGGGGCCATGTACCGTCAAATCTTGGGTGAGAACCTCCTTCCCTCAGCCAGGGCATTGAAAATGGGTCGTGGATGGGTATTCCAGCATGACAATGACCCAAAACACACGGCCAAGGCAACAAAGGAGTGGCTCAAGAAGAAGCACATTAAGGTCCTGGAGTGGCCTAGCCAGTCTCCAGACCTTAATCCCATAGAAAATCTGTGGAGGGAGCTGAAGGTTCGAGTTGCCAAACTTCAGCCTCGCAACCTTAATGACTTGGAGAAGATCTGCAAAGAGGAGTGGGACAAAATCCCTCCTGAGATGTGTGCAAACCTGGTGGCCAACTACAAGAAACGTCTGACCTCTGTGATTGCCAACAAGGGTTTTGCCACCAAGTACTAAGTCGTGTCTTGCAGAGGGGTCAAATACTTATTTCCCTCATTAAAATGCAAATCAATTTATAACATTTTTGACATGCGTTTTTCTGGATTTTTTTGTTGTTATTCTGTCTCTCACTGTTCAAATAAACCTACCATTAAAATTATAGACTGATCATGTCTTTGTCAGTGGGCAAACGTACAAAATCAGCAGGGGATGAAATACTTTTTTCCCTCACTGTAGTTTCAGTAGATGTCGGAAGTTTACAAACACTTAGGTTGGAGTCATTAAAACTCGTTTTTCAACCACTCCACAAATGTCTTGTTAACAAACTATAGTTTTAGCAAGTCGGTTAGGACATCTACTTTGTGCATGACACAAGTAATTTTTCCAACAATTGTTTAGAGACAGATTATTTCACTTATAATTCACTGTATCACAATTCCAGTGGGTCAGAAGTTTACATACATTAAGTTGACTGTGCCTTTAAACAGCTTGGAAAATTCCAGAAAATGATGTCATGGCTTTAGAAGCTTCTGATAGGCTAATTGACATCATTTGAGACAATTGGAGGTGTACATGTGGATGTATTTCAAGGCCTACCTTCAAACTCAGTGCATCTTTGCTTGACATCATGGGAAAATCAAAAGAAATCAGCCAAGACCTCAGAAAAATAATTGTAGACCTCCACAAGTCTGGTTCATCCTTGGGAGCAATTTCCAAATGCCTGAAGGTGCCACGTTCATCTGTACAAACAATAGTACGCAAGTATAAACACCATGAGACCACGCAGCCGTCATACCGCTCAGGAAGGAGACGCGTTGTCTCCTAGAGATGAACGTACTTTGGTGCGAAAAGTGCAAATCAATCCCAAAACAACAGCAAAGGACCTTGTGAAGATGCTGGAGGAAACAGGTACAAAAGTATCTATATTCACAGTAAAACAAGTCCTATATCGACATAACCTGAAAGGCCGCTCAGCAAGGAAGAAGCCACTGCTCCAAAACCGCCATAAAAAAGCCAGACTATGGTTTGAAACTGCACATGGGGACAAAGATTGTACTTTTTGGAGAAATGTCCTCTGGTCTGATTAAACAAAAATAGAACTGTTTGGCCATAATTACCATCGTTATGTTTGGACAATGACCCCAAGCATACTTCCAAAGTTGTGGAACAATGGCTGAAGGACAACAAAGTCAAGGTATTGGAGTGGCCATCACAAAGCCCTGACCTCAATCCTATAGAAAATTTGTGGGCAGAACTGAAAAAGCGTGTGCAAGCAAGGAGGCCTACAAACCTGACTCAGATCCACCAGCTCTGTCAGGTGGAATGGGCCAAAATTCACCCAACTTATTGTGGGAAGCTTGTGGAAGGCTACCTGAAACGTTTTACCCAAGTTAAACAATTTAAAGGCAATGCTACCAATTACTAATTGCGTGTATGTAAACTTCTGACCCACTGGGAATGTGATGAAAGAAATAAAAGCTGAAATAAATAATTCTCTCTACTATTATTCTGACATTTCACATTCTTAAAATAAAGTGGTGATCCTAACTGACCTAAGACAGGGAATTTTTACTAGGATTAAATGTCAGGAATTGTGAGAAACTGAATTTAAATGTATTTGTCTAAGGTGTATGTAAAATTCCAACTTCCAACTGTAGATCACATACACTATATATACAAAAGTATGTGGACACCCCTTCAAATTAGTGCATTCGGCTATTTCAGCCACTCCTGTTGCTGACAGGTGTATAAAATCGAGCACACAGCCATGCGATCTCCATAGACAAACATTGGCGGTAGAATGGCCTTACTGAAGAGCTCAGTGACTTTCAACGTGGCACCGTCATAGGATGCCACCTTTCCAACAAGTCAGTTCGTCAAATTTCTGCCCTGCTAGAGCTGCCCCGGTCAACTGTAAGTGCTGAAATTGTGAAGTGGAAACATCTAGGAGCAACACCGGCTCAACCGCAAAGTGGTAGGCCACACAGGCTCACAGAACGGGACCGCCGAGTGCTGAAGCGTGTAGAAATCATCTGTCCTCGGTTGCAACACTCACTACCGAGTACCAAACTGCCTCTGGAAGCAACATCAGCACAATAACTGTTCATCGGGAGCTTCATGAAATGGGTTTCCATAGCCTAAGATCACCATGAGCAATGCCAAGCGTCGGCTGGAGTGGTGTAAAGCTCGCCGCCATTGGACTCTGGAGCAGTGGAAACGCGTTCTCTGGAGTGATGAATCACGCTTCACCCTCTGGCAGTCCGACAGACTAATCTGGGTTTAGCGGATGCCAGGAGAACGCTACCTGCCCCTACGCATAGTGCCAACTGTAAAGTTTGGTGGAGGAGGAATAATGGTCTGGGGCTGTTTTTCATGGTTCGAGCTAGGCCCCTTAGTTCCAGTGAAGGGAAATCTTAACGCTACAGCATACAATGACATTCTAGACGATTCTGTGCTTCCAACTCTGTGGCAACAGTTTGGGTAAGGCCCTTTCCTGTTTCAGCATGACAATGCCCCCGTGCACAAAGCGAGGTCCATTCAGAAATGGTTTGTCGAGATCGGTGTGGAAAAACTTGACTGGCCTCCACAGAGCCCTGACCTCAACCCCATCAAACACCTTTGGGATGAATTGGAACGCCGACTGCGAGCCAGGCCTAATCGCCCAACATCAGTGCCCGACCTCACTAATGCTCTTGTAGCTGAATGAACGCAAGTCCCCGCAGCAATGCTCCAACATCTAGTGGAAAGCCTTCCCAGAAGAGTGGCTGTTATAGCCGCAAAGGGGGGACCACCAATAAATACATTTAATTAGCTTTGGGATAGAATCCTCATATTGTATTATTATTATTATTAACATAAATCAAATCATATTTTCTTCCTATCCTCTGTAGGAGTCTCGGCTGGTGGAGGTCCCTCGTATGAAGGACATTCCAGTGGATGTGACCCTTAACCTGCAGGAGAGGCTCAGTGGGGTGACAGACGTCCTGTCGCGGATCTCAAAGCTGGTGTCTGAGGACCTGGAGAAGGCCGTGTCTACAGCTGTGAGGCAGGACAAGCAAGGTAACCTAACCTCACTGTATGAAGGAGGAGGCTGTGTGTTAAGGTCCCCTTATTGTAATGAGGAGCATATTGTCTTACTGTGCTAAGGGAAATGCTCTATATTTAGAGAGAGCTGTGTGTGGTTTCTATGGATAGTCATCTCCAATCTGTTAATATGTCTCTGTGTTTCTCCCCCCTCTTCCTTAGGTTCTCCCCAGGATAAGCGCCCCGTCCTGGCTGTGGTCCCCAGCCCTGCTGTTCCATTACACCCAGCTGGGAAGAAAGGCCTCAGTGAATGTATGTGTTTGTACCTTACTTTATTATAAAACTCCTAACTCTCAGTAACTATAAATAATAGCATAGCAATTTATTCTGGGCTCTATAATTAGTGACCTGAATGATGTTTAAAAAGTTTGCCAACATAACCGTGATGCATCACCCATCTGTTGATTTTAGAGCCAATTTAGACTAATAAGCATCTTCTGACGTGCTCCCTCCTCAGACCACTGCACCCTGACCTTTGACCCTCGTACGGCCAACAGTCACCTGCTACTCTCCCAGGAGAATCGACGGGCAGAACACCTGACCTCTGCGCCGCGCCGTGTCCCAGCCCACGAGGCTCGCTTTGACCACACCTGGCAGGTGCTCTGCTTCCAGGGCTTCAAACACGGACAGCATTACTGGGAGCTAGAGGTGTCTAAGCCATGGGCCTACCTGGGGGTAAGAGTGTGTGAAGGCCATGGTAGCCCAATGTCATGTCAATATTAGTATTCTAGAGCAGGGCTATTCAACTCTTACCCTACGAGGTCCGGAGCCTGGTTTTCTGCTCTACCTGATAATTAATTGCACCCACCTGGTGTCCCATGGGGGGGGGGGGGAGCAGTGGGACTGGCTTAGAGGTCCAGAGTTGAGTTTGGGAGCTATAGAAATGCGCCTGTGTCTTTCGAGACTCCCCGCCATAACCTTTGACCCCTGCGTCTCTCCCCCCAGGTGACCTACGAGGGCATCCCCAGGAAGGAAAAGGGAAAGAGTTGCATGGTGGGAATGAACGATCTGTCCTGGAGCCTCCAGCTGGATGAGCACCAGCTGAGCGCCTGGCACAACGGGCGCCGGGAGACGGTGGCTGGCCACTACCACCACTCCCACATCGGAATGCTGCTGGACTACGAGGCGGGAACGCTGACGTACTACGGAGACGGGCAGACGCGGCTGCATTCCTTCTACTGTGCCTTCACTCAGGAGCTGTTCCCCGCCTGTTGGATAGGGGAGGGCGTCAGCATTACCCTCTGCTCGCCATGACGACAACACCAAAGGGAATGACTGTGACCTAAATGCCATAAGGGACTAGTCTTGTAAAGCTGATGACAGTGTTGTGATGTCACCTTACTGTGGGAGACTGACTTGAACGGGAGCGATTAGTAAGCACACATGTGACACGGGACTGTTAATGTTCTGAAATATGGGATCAGACTCGGCACAGTGGACTAGTCTTTGGGATACTGATGTGGATTTGCAAGTTGTCCGAACCGGAAGCACAGTTAGCAACTGGAAATGACTACTGTACGGGAAACCGGTTTTCCATAAGAGGGAAAAGCACATTTCTAGGGCTTCTAGAGGCTGAAGACATTTCACAAAAGTTCCTGTTGGAATTGTACTGGAGCTGATGTTAAATGTTTTGCACTACTTTGTGTTGGAAGTTGGAACTGGACATAACTATGGTATTAATGTAGACATGGTGCCAGCCTGTTTCTGATTTAGACCACTTGTCATTTTGTCAAACAAGGCTATAAAAACACAGAAATAGTCAGGTACCCAGGTTAGCATCACAATGTGTACAGAAAAATAAAAGACTTGTCAAATGAATAAAAATGGACACAATTCAACATCACAAGATCAGTTTAATAAAAATCCAATGCATATTAGTTACAATTCAGCCCATGCTTTGCTTTTGTCTTTTTTAATAATATATTTGACCATTTCAAATGAATTAACTCAATAAATTAGTGGGAGCTTGAAATAAATATATAGCCATATCTTACTTTTTTACTATACACATAGCCATGGCAGGAGCGAAGAGGCCCGATGCATAGCATTCTGAAAGTGCAAAGAATCTGCCGGCTGCATTGTGCCACAGAGAGAAAAGAGATGCCCAAATATTAAAGGTGCTCAGATCAGATTCAGGAGACTGACCTCAAACATGTCAGTAAACTACACACCACAAGAGAAGTAGATAGCCATTAGTGTTGTTCGATGAGAGAGAAGTGACTATTGATCTAAACTGTTAGTCCAGAACACTGCAGAGTGATGTGATGCAAGGAATTCTTTTATTTGTTTAATTCCTTGATGTGGTGGGTGAGTGAGTTCTAGAATGTTTAGAAGAGTGACACAGGACATGACATCATAGGGCAACTGCTCTATACACACACACACAGGAAGTAGCAGATAGCTAAAATAATCTTTCCATGTAGTTAGTTCACCTAGGATCAGGGATTCCTAGTATTCTAGCTAGCTGTCCACTATACCGGACATTATGGTTCCTATCAACACAACAGGAAAGTCTCAAACAACACTATATCCCCTTTATAGAAGGTTGTCATTTCAGATATGTAAATTGTCAACAAAGACCTGGTCCAATGATCTACTGCTATCCTCTCATATTGAAGTTGTCACATTAAAAGCCTGTACAGACAAAGAATACATGTTTTTAATCAACAATACAGCCTTTCGCTAGCCCCTGGATAGCAGAGAAATCACTTAATTCAGCCCAGTTCGATTAGTCATCAACGGTCTTATGAAATAAATCAGCTTCTCACCAAAACGACCTGCTAAACCTTGAGCCTGCATGTCTGTCCGTTTCTGCTTTAACCAACTTGCCGTTGTCTGATCTGGCAAGAAAATTTAGTGTTTGGCAATGCAGAAAAAAAGCAGGTACCCAAGAATACTACTACCTCAATCAAAAACACCTCTGTCTTAACCTAATATTCCCGTTTCCTGACATCTTTGGCTCAAACAAGCTACAATCATATCATCAACCACTCTAGAAGAGCTGTAAGTAACACTGTTTAGTTAAAGTCAGGTGGGTATGAGAGAAGTGGTTAGTGGAACTCAGAAGGGAACTGCCTGTACACGAGCTGGGGAGGGTGGAGCTAACATAGCTAGCTGGTTGCTGCAATTATCATTAAGAGGAACGTGAGTTAAGAGACTGACCAGAGGAGGGGAGGAGAAGGGGGGACTGAAAGGGAACAAGGTAGACAGAGAGGAGAGAGACCAAAAGGAGGGGTTGGTGGAAGAGAGACAACATCGGGATGGAAAGGGGGGGGTACAGGCCGTGTGAAGGAGGGGTGGGAGCTGAGATACAGCTCTACTGGGTCTTCTTGTCTTCAGTAGGGGAGTAAGGGGGGGGGTTGTCCTGGAGAAAAGGAAAAAACATCCGATTACATATTACAGATATACACAGTTTGGAGAACAACATAAACTGAGTTAAAAGCATTTGATAAAAGTACTACAGTGCGCTCTCATTGGTCCTGTGCTGCTTCCTGCACAGCATTCATTGGCTGTACTCTGACCTGCTCTTTGTTTATTGGTTGGGCAGCTGTCTGCATGGACCTTCCCTGATGACCCTGCCTCTCTTACCTGCTACTGGGCCAAAGTGCAAACAATTTAAATATAAATGGGGAGAATCCATACCCTTCTGAATAGATTAAAATGGCTTCCTACACGTCAGATTTAGAGAGGTAGAAAGGTGGTAAACGGGCGTACCTGTGGCAGGTAGGTGGGAGGGAGTGTGGAACAGCTGCCACTGGTTGCTGCCTCTGCTGCCTTTGCCTCCGCTGGTGGAAGGAGAGAGAAGTGAATGACTTAATGCTTCAGCAGCATGGGATCACTCACATCGCGCTAATTAAAAACTACCATTACTGAAGGAACTTTGCAAGACAGAGTGAGAGAGTGAGAACCAAAATGTATTCTGACCTGCAGTTGTGGAGGGCAGGGCAGGGTCGTGGGGGGGCTGCTGCCCCAGGGGGGCGGAGTAGGGAGGAGGGGGCATGTAGGCCGCAGGGCCATCAAACGCTGGGGGGTTGGGGTAGAATACACCTGCAGAGAAACAGACATATTAGATGCAATAATACATGGACTGGTTTTTATGATTAAACTATTTTTCCATTTTCAACTAGACAAGTACAAAACATTAAAAAAGGAAGACAACAGTACTCTTTGTCTGGTCCATACCTGGTGGAGGGGGGTTGGGGTAGGAGTACCCGGGTGGGGGTCCTGCCGGGTACCCATTGGCTGGGGGAGGAGGGTAGGCATAGGCCCCATTGGCCATGTAGGGACAGCCCCCAAAGCCACCACTCACAGGCTGCCCTCTGGACGCTGCACAGGGGCAGAGTAGAGGTTGGAAAGACATCCATTTAAAACTAGCTATTTAAAAAAGGAGATAGTCAATGGGTAAATTGGTCACAGAATCAGCTCCAAAAGTCCTTTACCTTGGGCAGCGACCTGTAACATGTACTGTCCAAACTCTATGGCTCCTCCTGCAGCAAACACCAGCTTAAAGGTGGCACAGCCCTCCCAGCCTCCTGGATAGTGACAGAAGTACAGTTACCAACTTTTAAAAACTAAAAAATGATCAAATATAATCCAGATTTGTATTTTTCCAAGTCCATTTTGAGCACAGCAGTGGTCCTTGGCTAGATACGTGTCATAAAATGTACTTATTATATTTATCTGGTACTGACAGTGTGAAGTTCTTTGAGGGCTTGTGGGAGACACAGTCATTGACTCCCTCTCTCCCTCTCACACACAAACACACCTCCGGGCTCTGCGCTGACGGTGCCTTTGATGTAGTTGGCCCCCAGGACAGGCTGTTTGACCTCACAGCCTTTCATCAGGTAGAAAGGCATCATGAAGGACTGCAGAGCATCACGACCCCCCTTCGCCACAAAGATCACCTGAGGAGAGGCAACCTGGGTTACACCCATCATATCTAGATAGGTGCCTATAGGTTAGGGGGTTGGGTGTATAAAATGTTTGCATGGTAAAGAAGTGTCTCCTCTTACCCTGTAGGGGGTCAGGAAGATGCTCCCCTTCTTACTCTTCCTGAAGGCATCAGGCAGGCACTCAGCTTCACAGAACACCAGCTCCACGTTCTCATAGCTCATCAACACACTGATGACACACACACACACACGGCAACATATAAGGTAGACGTTGCAAGCCAATTCATTGTTCCTTTACCTAAATCAACATGACAATCATCCTTTTTCATAACCACACACTGAGCTAGAAAAAAAAAACACAAGAGGAAGAAAAGAACATGCTTATGAGATTAGGGGGCATTGTGTAACTGTCCAAGTTGGTCAGTTACCTAAAGTGGTCCATTGCTTCTCTGCAGTAAAGAGCTAGTAAGGTATAATAGGCTTGGGTCTGGTGACACTAGTGGCTGGCAGTGATGTAAAGTACTTAAGTAGTACTTTAAAGTATTTTTACTTAAGTAGTTGTTTTTTTTTGGGGGGGGGGTATCTGTACTTTACAATTTATATGTTTGACGACTTTTACTTCACTACATTCCTAAAGAAAATTATGTACTTTTTACTCCATACATTTTCCCTGTCACCCAAAACGACTTGTTATATTTTAAATGCTCAGTAGGACAGGAGAATGGTCCAATACACACACTTATCAAGAGAACATCCCTGGTCATCTCTACTGCCTCTGATCTGGCGGACTCACTAAACACAAATGCATCGTTTGTAAATGATGTCTGAGTGTAGGTGTGCTCCTGGCTATCAGTAAATAAAATAAAAACAAGAACATGGTGCTGTCTGGTTTGCTTAATATAAGGAATTTGAAATTATTTACACTTTTACTTTTGATACTTAAGTATATTTCAAACAAAATACTTTTACACATGTATTATTTCACTGGGTGACTTTCACATGAGTAATTTTCTATACTGAACAAAAATAAACACAACATGCAACAATTTCAACATTTTACTGAAGTTACTGTTTACATTATTACATTTACATCATTTAGCAGACGCTCTTATCCAGAGCGACTTGTTTATATAAGGAAATCAGTCAATTGAAATAAATAAATTAGGCCCTAATCTATGGATTTCACATGACTGGGCAGGGGCGCAGCCATGGGTGGCTAATCAGTCAATCAGAATACGTTTCCCCCCACAAAAGGGCTTTATTGCAGACAGAAATACTCCTCAGTTTAATCAGCTGTCCGGGTGGCGGATCTCAGACGATCCCGCAGGTGGAGAAGCCAGATGTGGAGGTCCTGGACTGGTCTGTGGTTGTGAGGCCGGTTGGAAATACTGCTTCTCTAAAACGACGTTGAGGCGGCTTATGGTAGAGAAATGAACATTCAATTCTCTGGCAACACCTCTGGTGGACATTCCTGCACTCTGTATGCCAATTGCACACTCCCTCAAAACTTGAGACATCTGTGGCATTGTGTTGTGTGACAAAACTGCACATTTTAGAGTGGCCTTTTATTGTCCCCAGCAAAAGGTTCACCTGTGTAATGATCATGCTGTTTAATCAGTTTCTTGATATGCCACCCCTGTCAGGTGGATGGACTATTTTGGTAAAGGAAAAATGTTCACTAACAGGGATGTGAACAAATTTGTGCAGAAAATCTGAGAGAAATAAGCTTTTTGTGCATATGGAAAAATAGTGGGATCTTTTATTTCAGCTCATGAAACATGGGACCAACACTTTACATGTGGCGTTTATATTTTTGTTCAGTACATTAAGGTATCTTTACTTTTACTCAAGTATGACAATTAGGTAGTTTTTCCACCACTGGTGGCTGGCTAGGAGGCTAGTTACAACACCTTACCTGTTTACCTGCCAAACCCGCATGACAGATACATAACACGTAGCTATGTTCGGGAAAATAAATATCATATTTGCCAGAGCAGGCTATTTGTACAGCCACACATCGCTAGCTAGCTAGTTACTTAGCTATCTTTTGCATATTTTGGGGGGCTAACTTAGCTCAAGCTCAACCTCACCCGATGAGCTGACGTGATCGGCAGTCAACACACGATGACCATCATTATGGCAAACAATAGTTAGCTTCTGAGTGTTGACAAGACACAAGGTAAGATCTGTTAGCTAGTTGGTGCCTGAAAGAATACGCAATGTCAACGCTACAAAACATTTAATGGCTAGCTGGTAAACTACACAAAAAGCTAAGCTACAGACTACCTAGCTAGCTACATTCACACAGTTAACTCACGTTGACTGATAATCGCTACGCTACTGTTAATACGTATAAGCTAGCTAACGTTACCTTTCACTGTTGGTGATAATGACGCCTCCGGATTCAGAATTGTTCTTGTTCAAAGCCATTGCGATGTCGCCTCGTGATTACAGAGTGTGGAATGAACAAAGTAAAATAATGACAGATGCGGTCTCAAACGTGAACTGGATCAAATCGTTTCGTCGCTTCCCCGTTTCACCTGCCAAGCCTGCTCCAGTTTTGTTGTGATGCTGAGGCACCTGCACTTCCGGCATGCGTTACGCCCAGACAGTGATGTCATCTTCTTCTTCTTCTTGTTTATTATTCTGTGGGTTTTATGGCGAACTACAATCCAAAAGGTGTATTGCCGCCACGAACTGGACGGGTTGAAACCATACGTGATAGGGAAACGAACTTAATCCACCCAAAGAAAATAGTACATTGACAAAACAAAACTCCCACTTCTTCCTTCTTTCAATTTACCATATCTCCCTTCTCAGGCTCTAGGGCCTATCTGTCAATGTGCCCTTGAGCAAGGCACTCAACCCTAATTGCTCCTGTAAGTCGCTCTGGATAAGAGTGTCTGCTAAATGACTAACATGTCAAATGTAAATATTAGCAAATGATTTTGAAAGATGAAGGGTACTTATTGACACAGGAGGGTGAAAGTGCTCATGAACTCTTCATTTTGTTGACACCATAAATTGGTTGAGGACACAACCTTGTGTGTAGGCTACTCATCCCTGTATGTCAGGAAAAAGCACAACTCAACAAAGATTAAGTGTAACATGAAGTTATGTTTATTTTCTCTGCAGGGGATTCATTTTGGTCAAAAACAGCTAGTCTGCTCTATTACCTCACCCACCCCACACATACTGAATCAGTGTGTATACGTGTGTATGTGTTAGCCACATTCAGATAGAGCTTGCATATTCAGCCTACCAAGAGCGGTAGGTACTTTTTGTGGTCAGTGCAGGCTGCAAGAGCTCATGTTGCTGCCCACCTTCTTTAGCAGTGGTATTCTGAGAAGGTCTTATCCTGACTGTAAATGGTGTGCTGGTTTACTGTGCAGGGGTTGACCTTCCAACTTCCAAGTTTAATCTTTTGTTATATCTCGTGATATGCTTTTATGTAAAATGATTACTACTGTGGACATTTCTATGCCTAATGTAAATCAACCATGTACAGTATTTACATGTAATTGTCTTGCCTAATCCACACATAACAAGACATATCCTTTTGGGTTTTGGGGTTTGTTTGTCTGTTTATGCGTGTGTGTGTGTGTGTGTGTGTGTGTGTGTGTGTGTGTGTGTGTGTGTGTGTGTGTGTGTGTGTGTGTGTGTGTGTGCGTTCGAGAGAGGAAGAGAGAGAGGGCATTTGGACACAGATGAAGAAGTGGAAAGTCACACCAACCACCTTCTACAGGAAATGATGACTTCCTGCAAAGTGATAACTTGGCCCCGCTTTACACTCCTCTCTCTTATAACCTCTCACTGCCTCCCATCCTTTAAACACAGCAGACAACCATCAACCACACAGCCTCACCAGAGAAGGGCCTTTGGCTGTTCATCCACCTCAACCATGATGCCAAGCCAGGATAGGTTCTCCACAACCGGAGACAACCTACTGCAACCTCCCGATCAGGCAAGTACCAAACTTTGTCATGTAAAAAATAAGTTCATTTAATACAGTGAGGTCCGAAAGTATTTTGACAGGGACAGTTGTGTTGTTGTTTTGGCTCTGCACTCCAGAACATTTGGATTTCATATTGAATGAACCGTTTAAAATTACAGCAGAATTTGTACATACAGTGGGGGAAAAAAGTATTTAGTCAGCCACCAATTGTGCAAGTTCTCCCACTTAAAAAGATGAGAGAGGCCTGTAATTTTCATCATAGGTACACGTCAACTATGACAGACAAAATAAGAAAGAAAAATCCAGAAAATCACATTGTAGGATTTTTTATGAATTTATTTGCAAATTATGGTGGAAAATAAGTATTTGGTCAATAACAAAAGTTTCTCAATACTTTGTTATATACTCTTTGTTGGCAATGACACAGGTCAAATGTTTTCTGTAAGTCTTCACAAGGTTTTCACACACTGTTGCTGGTATTTTGGCCCATTCCTCCATGCAGATCTCCTCTAGAGCAGTGATGTTTTGGGGCTGTCGCTGGGCAACACGGACTTTCAACTCCCTCCAAAGATTTTCTATGGGGTTGAGATCTGGAGACTGGCTAGGCCACTCCAGGACCTTGAAATGCTTCTTACGAAGCCACTCCTTTGTTGCCCGGGCGGTGTGTTTGGGATCATTGTCATGCTGAAAGACCCAGCCACATTTCATCTTCAATGCCCTTGCTGATGGAAGGAGGTTTTCACTCAAAATCTCATGATACATGGCCCCATTCATTCTTTCCTTTAAACGGATCAGTCGTCCTGGTCCCTTTGCAGAAAAACAGCCCCAAAGCATGATGTTTCCACCCCCATGCTTCACAGTAGGTATGGTGTTCTTTGGATGCAACTCAGCATTCTTTGTCCTCCAAACACGACGAGTTGAGTTTTTACCAAAAAGTTCTATTTTGGTTTCATCTGACCATATGACATTCTCCCAATCCTCTTCTGGATCATCCAAATGCACTCTAGCAAACTTCAGATGGGCCTGGACATGTACTGGCTTAAGCAGGGGGACACGTCTGGCACTGCAGGATTTGAGTCCCTGGCGGCGTAGTGTGTTACTGATGGTAGGCTTTGTTACTTTGGTCCCAGCTCTCTGCAGGTCATTCACTAGGTCCCCCCGTGTGGTTCTGGGATTTTTGCTCACCGTTCTTGTGATCATTTTGACCCCACAGGGTGAGATCTTGCGTGGAGCCCCAGATCGAGGGAGATTATCAGTGGTCTTGTATGTCTTCCATTTCCTAATAATTGCTCCCACAGTTGATTTCTTCAAACCAAGCTGCTTACCTATTGCAGATTCAGTCTTCCCAGCCTGGTGCAGGTCTACAATTTTGTTTCAGGTGTCCTTTGACAGCTCTTTGGTCTTGGCCATAGTGGAGTTTGGAGTGTGACTGTTTGAGGTTGTGGACAGGTGTCTTTTATACTGATAACAAGTTCAAACAGGTGCCATTAATACAGGTAACGAGTGGAGGACAGAGGAGCCTTAAAACAGAAGTTACAGGTCTGTGAGAGCCAGAAATCTTGCTTGTTTGTAGGTGACCAAATACTTATTTTCCACCATAATTTGCAAATAAATTCATTAAAAATCCTACAATGTGATTTTCTGGATTTTTCTTTCTCTCAATTAGTCTGTCATAGTTGACGTGTACCTATGATGAAAATTACAGGCCTCTCTCATCTTTTTAAGTGGGAGAACTTGCACAATTGGTGGCTGACTAAATACTTTTTTCCCCCACTGTAGTTCCACATTTTAGGGAACCAAAAGTATTTGGACAGATTCTACTAATACTAAACTTTTGACCACTTTAATACAATATAATTGAATTTGTCCAAATACTTTTGGTTCCCTAAAATGTGGAACTATGTACAAAAAGTGCTGTAATTTCAACGGTTCAGCCAATATGGATGAAAATACCCTCAAACACTTGAAACCCTACCTCTTTAAGGAATACCTGGAATGGTATAAAAGTAATCCTTCTCCCCCACCCCCCCCCCCCCCCCCCCCATAAAAAAAAGGAAAAAAAAGTGGTTGTCCCACTGGCTATCATAAGTTGAATGCACCAATTTGTAAGTCGCTCTGGATAAGAGCGTCTGCTAAATGATGTAAATGTATATGTAAAATCAAAGCTGACAGTCTGCACTTTAACCTCATAGTCATTGCATCATTTCATATCCAAAGTGCTGGAGTACAGAGCCAAAACAACAACAACAATTGTCCCTATCAGGCTCCTATGTGTGTGTGTTGGGCGTTTGATGTCCTCTAAGATAACAGTTTGGGATGATGGCCTCAAAAAATGGATGCTGAGGTCAAATCGGTTTCCGAAACTTTATCTTCACCATCAGTGAAATGCTCTTATGTTTTGAGTGACTTGAGAATATCTTTGTATTGAGATGAAATGTGTCATGATCATTGATGTTTTGATAAGACTAACTGACTGTTGTTTATTATGAATGTACTCGTTTTGTAAACGTTACATGCTGTCCATTTGGTATTTTTAGATAAGATCCCACTGGGCAAAACTGGTTCAATCAATGTTGTTTCCACATCAACAAAAACATGGTATGTGATGACATTGAATCAACATGTAAAACTCATTGGACTTGCAAAAAGTCATCACCTTTGGTTGATTTCACGTTGAATTAGTTAGTTCACAACTCAACCAAATGTACAGTGGGGAAAAAAAGTATTTAGTCAGCCACCAATTGTGCAAGTTCTCCCACTTAAAAAGATGAGAGAGGCCTGTAATTTTCATCATAGGTACACCTCAACTATGACAGACAAATTGAGAAAAAATATCCAGAATATCACATTGTAGGATTTTTAATGAATTTATTAGCAAATTATGGTGGAAAATAAGTATTTGGTCACCTACAAACAAGCAAGATTTCTGGCTCTCACAGACCTGTAACTTCTTCTTTAAGAGGCTCCTCTGTCCTCCACTCGTTACCTGTATTAATGGCATCTGTTTGAACTTGTTATCAGTATAAAAGACACCTGTCCACAACCTCAAACAGTCACACTCCAAACTCCACTATGGCCAAGACCAAAGAGCTGTCAAAGGACACCAGAAACAAAATTGTAGACCTGCACCAGGCTGGGAAGACTGAATCTGCAATAGGTAAGCAGCTTGGTTTGAAGAAATCAACTGTGGGAGCAATTATTAGGAAATGGAAGACATACAAGACCACTGATAATCTCCCTCGATCTGGGGCTCCACGCAAGATCTCACCCCGTGGGGTCAAAATGATCACAAGAACGGTGAGCAAAAATCCCAGAACCACACGGGGGGGACCTAGTGAATGACCTGCAGAGAGCTGGGACCAAAGTAACAAAGCCTACCATCAGTAACACACTACGCCGCCAGGGACTCAAATCCTGCAGTGCCAGACGTGTCTCCCTGCTTAAGCCAGTACATGTCCAGGCCCGTCTGAAGTTTGCTAGAGTGCATTTGGATGATCCAGAAGAGGATTGGGAGAATGTCATATGGTCAGATGAAACCAAAATAGAACTTTTTGGTAAAAACTCAACTCGTCGTGTTTGGAGGACAAAGAATGCTGAGTTGCATCCAAAGAACACCATACCTACTGTGAAGCATTGGGGTGGAAACATCATGCTTTGGGGCTGTTTTTCTGCAAAGGGACCAGGACGACTGATCTGTGTAAAGGAAAGAATGAATGGGGCCATGTATCGTGAGATTTTGAGTGAAAACCTCCTTCCATCAGCAAGGACATTGAAGATGAAACGTGGCTGGGTCTTTCAGCATGACAATGATCCCAAACACACCGCCCGGGCAACAAAGGAGTGGCTTCGTAAGAAGCATTTCAAGGTCCTGGAGTGGCCTAGCCAGTCTCCAGATCTCAACCCCATTGAAAATCTTTGGAGGGAGTTGAAAGTCTGTGTTGCCCAGCGACAGCCCCAAAACATCACTGCTCTAGAGGAGATCTGCATGGAGGAATGGGCCAAAATACCAGCAACAGTGTGTGAAAACCTTGTGAAGACTTACATAAAACGTTTGACCTGTGTCATTGCCAACAAAGGGTATATAACAAAGTATTGAGAAACTTTTGTTATTGACCAAATACTTATTTTCCACCATAATTTGCAAATAAATTCATTAAAAAATCCTACAATGTGATTTTCTGGATTCTTTTTTCTCATTTTGTCTGTCATAGTTGACGTGTACCTATGATGAAAATTACAGGCCTCTCTCATCTTTTTAAGTGGGAGAACTTGCACAATTGGTGGCTGACTAAATACTTTTTTCCCCCACTGTAAGTCAAAACTAGACATTGAAATGACGTCTGTGCCCAGTGGGATGTGACCATGAGTTATACTACGGCATGATCAGTGTTTCTGAAATCAGATGACACAGAGGGAGGTGTTTTCACTTCTCATAGAAGAACCACAGACAAGACATCCATAGTTTTGATACCCGCGTGTGTCTGTATTTGCATGAGTGTGTGTCTGTGTATTCATGAATGTGTGTGTATACTGAGTGTGTGTGTATTCATGGGTGTGTGTGTGTATTCATGAGTGTGTGTATATGCATGAGTGTGTGTCTGTGTATTCATGAGTGTTTGTGTATGCATGAGTGTGTGTCTGTGTATACATGATTGTGTGTATATGCATGAGTGTGTGTCTGTGTATTCATGAGTGTGTGTATATGTGTTAAGATAATTTATTAACTAACTATTTCAGTGTCTCTGTGCGTCTCCCAAAAGGTTGTAAGGCTTTTGGATCAAGAAACGGACAGAGCTCCCAGTCTGCAATAGTCAGGTCGTCTTTATTCAGAGAATTCTGCCCAGAGAATTCTGTTATCACAATTTCAGAGTCCATCTTTTATACACACACGTCATACAAAAATCCCACCCCGCTTTAGGCTGTATATTTCCACTGTACACATCTTGTAAACTCACACCTGGGTTTATCTCATGTGGTTTTCCTCTGATCTCCTGACCATCAGGTCACACACACACACACACACACACACACACACACACACACATACACACAAACACACACACACACACACACGTGTTCTTATCATAGTCTACTCCTTGCTCGGGCAGGCTGCATTCTTTAGTTATCGCCGTCCTCACAATATCCTGCAAGCCTTTTTTCACTCCCCTTTCCCTGTATGTTTTGGGAACCAGTCTCCTGTTATTGGTTTCAATCGTTCTGCACTTCTGCTCGCCTAATTACAAGACACAAATACTCGGTTGCTGTGATGTAAACAAATTTGATTAACTCTCTGAGCTCTAGTCTACTAATTATTCATACATTATTAGTTTAACTGAGGGTGTGACATTTCAGTCATATCTTACTCACACATTTCTTTATCAATATGCATGAGTGTGTGTCTGTGTATTCATGAGTGTTTGTGTATACATGAGTGTGTGTATGTGTATTCATGAGTGTGTGTATATACATGAGTGTGTGTATGTGTATTCATGAGTGTGTGTATATGCATGAGTGTGTGTATATGCATGAGTGTGTGTGTATACATGAGTGTGTGTGTATTCATGAGTGTGTGTGTATTCATGAGTGAGTGTGTATACACGTGTGTGTGTGTGTGTATTCATGAGTGTGTCTGTATACATGAGTGTGTGTATTTTCATGATTGTGTGTGTATTCATGAGTGTGTGTTTATTCATGAGTGAGTGTGTATACATGAGTGTGTGTGTATTCATGAGTGAGTGTGTATTCATGAGTGTGTGTGTATTCATGAGTTTGTGTGTATTCATGAGTGTACGTGTATTCATGAGTGTGTGTGTATTCATGAGTGTGTGTGTATTCATGAGTGTGGGTGTATTCATGAGTGTGTGTGTATTCATGAGTGTATGTGTATTCATGAGTGTGTGTGTGTGTGTATTCATGAGTGTGTGTGTATTCATGAGTGTGTGTGTGTGTGTATTCATGAGTGTGTGTGTATTCATGAGTGTGTGTGTATTCATGAGTGTGTGTGTATTCATGAGTGTGTGTGTATTCATGAGTGTGTGTGTATTCATGAGTGTGTGTGTATTCATGAGTGTGTGTGTATTCATGAGTGTGTGTACCTGTTTTATCTGTATCCTTGTTTCTTATCCTGTCCTACGTTAGTACTGAAACTGGAGACGGGTAGTTTCCTTATCGCCTTCAATGAGGAAGTCCCTGTCGGAATCTAACTAGTGTCACCCTGCTATTTGCAAGGGATCTTTCCACATTATAAACGCAGACATTTCACAAGCTCCCCACTATTGCATAATTGATATGTCACATCAAGTACAGTTGGCCTGTCTATAGCGTGTATTTCTATGATAAGTGTAGGGCCAGTGGTTTCCTGACCACCAGTGGCTAAACTGGGTTGTTTCTCTTCCACATACAGACTCATGGCTCAACCAGGAACAGAACGAGACAGGTAGAGTGAGCCGAACCTCTCCACTTCAACTGCATATTTTAAATATGCCCGAAATATGAATATGAAATATGAATGCTAATTTTGCTATACCTGCTTCCCACAACCAAGGGTTTACTGTATAACGGTATTGTGTGTAACTGCCCCCCTCTCTCTCTCTCAGAGCTCCCCTGGCCGTAAACTGGGGATGACCAGGAAACAGAAGGACAGGAGGGTAGGTCCAGTTCCCTTTTTTTCTCCACATAAGGACTAGTGTTGTGAAGCGGTGTGAGCCAAAGCATGCTGCAACTAACATCATAATCAATGATGTCATGTCTTGGTTGCATCTGTCATTGTCAAATAAACCATCACGTAAGCTCGTACACAATAACTTTACGAACTGTGACTTTGTGACTTCAGCACTTCCTGAGTAAAGCATCCACAGTAGATAACAGGATGGATGTACTTTCAGGACTTTAAAGAGAATGAGAACCCAGAAGAGAAAGGGAAAAGACATAAGGAACAAGAGGTATCGTTGCTATAACATCAGAATTCGGCTTCCTTTCATAGGCTTTTTTGCTACAGCCGGTGGCATTAGTTTGTCCTTTAAGAGTCCCTATTAAAGGTTGATGTTTGTCCGTTTCCTCACACTTCCTCCCACAACCCCCCCCCCCCCCCCCCCCCCCCCCAGCTCAAGCCGCTGTATAAAGAGCTGCTGTACACCATCACCCACAAGCTGGGGAAGCCAGCCTCAGCAGAGGTCTTCACTGACAACCAGCTCCACCAATACATCAGAGAGGTGACAACCTAACCAGACTCTATTCTAACCCTCTCACAGACCAAATGCTGTGTTCTGATTCTTTTATTGTCCAAATACTAATACAGTACCTTGTTGCTATCAAACTACCCCTTCAGGCTTTCTCTATGGCAGAGGATGAACACCAGAGTCTGACAGAGAGGGTCCAGTTCACAGAGGTGAGTAAGCAGAGGAGTTTCATACTTCTAGGAGAAACCATTTGACCCAGCAGTATTTACCTATACAGTATCTAAGGGGGTTCTGTCCACAGAAGGTTGGTGGCACCTTAATTAGGGAGAATGGGCCTGTGGTAATGGCTGGAGCGGAATCAGTGGAATGGTATCAAATACATCAAACACATGGTTTCCATGGTTTCCATGTGTTTGATGCCATTCCATTTGCTCCGTTCCAGACATTTTTATGAGCCGTCCTCCCCTCAGCAGCCTCCATGGTTCTGTCACATGGAAGAGTCCACCAATTTTATTTAGCCGCTTCTGAGTCTGAGTCTTGTCCACAGCCTCCAGTCTACTGTCTGATGGCCACTGTGAAGGAAGCCAAGGGCATCCTGGGAAAAGACATCAGTGGTACGTCATCCTCACCTCAGATCTGTGAACACAATCAAATGTACTTCAACTATTTTGATTATCTGGAGGTGGCAAGAGAGTTCTGGATTTAGGTTGGTCCGTTTAGGAACCACAGATCTAGCAGTTGTGGTCTGTGAATCCTCCAGTGTGTTATGTTGTCCCCAGGTTTCAGTGATCCATACTGCTTACTGACCATCCTGGAGGATGAGAAGGAGAGCACAACAAGACGGTCCAGACCTAAACCCCGTAAAGCCGTGGTGAAGGACGCCGTCTCAGACGAGGAGGTTTACACGACAGACACCAAGAAACAGACCCTCAATCCCATCTGGAACCAGACCTTCGTATTGTGCGTGAAGGAAAACATTTACATACAACCTAGAACCTATTTGGTATTTTATTAGGATCCCCATTAGCTGTTGCAAAAGCAGCAGCTACTCTTCCTGGGGTCCACACAAAACATAAAACATGACATAATACAATAATATTTTTAAAAAGCGTGTTATTTTTTTATTACTATTATTATTATTATTATTATTATTATTGTTATTTTAGGGGGTATATCAGCTTTAATATTGCAGATAGATTGTGGCTTCTATCAATGTAATTTTTTAAAAATATATATATTATTTTTAATATATTTAGTGTCTTTCATGAATATTGTAAACCTCTCTCTTCCCCTGGGCTGGTAGGGAGTTTGAAGAAACTGCCAGGGCAAGCTTCCACATGGAGATGTGGTGAGTGACCAGTAATCTACTGTTTGTTTGTAAGGTTGAAGGAAAAAAAAACTACTGAAAATCTTTTTCCATATTAATGTCTGATCAATCTCTCTCTCGTAGGGACAAGGATGAGGAGGTGTCTCTGGCACAGAAGCTGGAGGAGATCAGAACCAACTTCCATGGACTGAGAAGGTAGAGCTTACTCTCTCTCTCTCTCACACACACACACACACACACACACACACACACACACACACACACACACACACACACACACACTCACACACCACACACACACACACACACACACACACACACACACCACACACACACACACACACACACACACACACACACACACACTCACACACACACACACACACACACACACACACACACAATATCCCAATGTTGATTGTTTGTGTTCCCATTCAGGATGATCAAGGATGCTAAGAAATTAAAAGGCCAGGATGATTTCTTGGGAAGCATTGTTCTGAGACTGAAGGTAGAGCAGTTTTAACACACACGCATGCACACATGCTCACCCACCATGATGCTCACCAAGTAACGCTCACAATGTGTGTGTGTGTGTGTGTGTGTGTGTGTGTGAAGGATCTGCATTGTACAGAGGATAACTGGTATGTTCTGGAGCCGAGGACAGAGACGTATCCAGATCGGGGCCAGTGTCATCTGCAGCTCAAGTTCACCCATAAAGAGGTATGGAGCTCAAGTCCTTCGCTACAACTCTCCAGTAGCACATAGTGTTTAATAAAGCAGAGGTAATTAACATAACGTAATGAACACATAAAACCAACGTTGTCAATTTAAAATATATGGTCAGACTGATGACAGAAACACCCAAAGAGCAGGGTGGTTTTTCTCTAATAGTAACTGTGAGATACGTGGGGAAAAAAACGTGTACTTTTCATTAACAGTAAGTGATAGTTGAACTACATTAAGGTTCTCACGTGTAGCTGGTGATCTACTGTATGACAGTGTGGTGAAAGAAGAAACAGACCCATTACAATATGTGTTTGTCTGTGACAGAGAGACGGGACGTTGAGTGCAGGTCGTAGTGCCTACGTCAACTACTGTGGGATCCTACAGCAGTTTGTCCAGTCACACATCTCTAAGCAACAGGTAACAGTTTGTCCAGTCACACATCTCTAAGCAACAGGTAACAGTTTGTCCAGTCACACATCTCTAAGCAACAGGTAACAGTTTGTCCAGTCACACATCTCTTAGCAACAGGTAACAGTTTGTCCAGTCACACATCTCTAAGCAACAGGTAACAGTTTGTCCAGTCACACATCTCTAAGCAAAACAGTTTGTCAGTCACACGTTTGACGTACCAGTTGCCACACATCTCTTAGCAACAGGTAACAGTTTGTCCAGTCACACATCTCTAAGCAACAGGTAACAGTTTGTCCAGTCACACATCTCTTAGCAACAGGTAACAGTTTGTCCAGTCACACATCTCTAAGCAACAGGTAATAAACGGTTCAGTTCGAACATCTTACAGTCATACCTGTACATCTAGTGGTTAATCTGTGAAGGCAATGCACCTCTCTCTCCCCCAGGGTGGTGGTCCGTGGAAAGGAGACTTGTGTGGGGAAGGACAGACCCTGTTGGAACTATACGCCACTCAGAATGACCTCTCACCTTTCCTGCAGGATCTGGCGTAAGTGCCACACACTCAAAACACACACACACTCTACACTCACATACATGTACACATTTGATATACAGTACCAGTCAAAAGTTTGGAAACAACTACTCATTCAAGGGTTTTTCTTTATTTTTACTATTTTCTACATTGTAGAATAAAAAAAAAGTGTTAAACAAATCAAAATATATTTTAATTTTAGATTATTCAAAGTAGCCACCCTTTGCCTTGATGACAGCTTTGCACATTGTCTCAACCAGCTTCACCTGGAATGTTTTTCCAACAGTCTTGAAGGAGTTCCCACATTTGCTGAGCACTTGTTGGCTGCTTTTCCTTCACTCTGCGGTCCATCTCATCCCAAACGATCTCAATTGGGTTGAGGTCGGGTGATTGTGGAGGCCAGGTCATCTGATGCAGCACTCCTATCGCTCTCCTTGGTCAAAAAGCCCTTACACAGCCTGGAGGTGTGTTTTGGACTCATCAGATCAAAGGACAGATTTCCACAGGTCTAATGTCCATTGCTCGTGTTTCTTGGCCCAAGCAGGTCTCTTCTTCTTATTGGTGTCATTTAGTAGTGGTTTCTTTGCAGCAATTTGACCATGAAGGCCTGATTTACACAGTCTCCTCTGAACAGTTGATGTTGAGATGTGTCTGTTACTTGAACTCTGTGAAGCATTTATTTGGGCTGCAATCTAAGGTGCAGTTAACTCTAATGAACTTATCCTCTGCAGCAGAGGTAACTCTGGGTCTTCCTTTCCTGTGGCGGTCCTCATGAGAGCCAGTTTCATCATAGCGCTTGATGGTTTTTGCGACTGGATTGACTGACTTCCATGTCTTAAAGTAATGATGGACTGTCGTTTCTCTTTGCTTATTTGAGCTGTTCTTTCCATAATATGGACTTGGTCTTTTACCAAATAGGGCTATCTTCTGTATACCTACCTTGTCACAACACCACTGATTGGCTCAAACCCATTAAGAAGGAAAGAAAATTAACTTTTAACAAGGCACACCTGTTAATTGAAAATGCATTCCAGGTGACTACCTCATGAAGCTGGTTGAGAGAATGTCAAGCGTGTGCAAAGCTGTCATCAAGGCAAAGGGTGGCTACTTTGAAGAATCTCAAATATAAAATATATTTAGATTTGTTAAACACTTTTTTGGTTACTACATGATTCCATATGTGTTATTTCATAGTGTTGATGTCTTCACTATTATTCTACAATGTAGAAAATAGTAAAAATAAAGAAAAACCGTTGAATGAGTAGGTGTGTCCAAACTGTTTTGACTGGTACTGTCTGTCTTATAGGAAGTGGGTGGCCTACAGTAAACTTTACCAGAGTTTAGAGGTGGACTCCTCACTGCTGCTGCAGCAGCTGACCAGTATAGAATACCACTGGCACCAGCAGGAGCTGCCCTACCAACAGGTAACACAGGCCTTCCTTTGCTTATATGACATATTATACACTGTGTATGATCTACTAATGAAATAAACACATGAACATATGTACAGAAACAGGAGCTAGGGGACTCTCTCCATGGTTTCCTGCAGTACGGATTGTGTCTCGTGGCCAAATACCGAGACATATTTCCCCCAACGCAGGACGCTAACCCTCGCCTACACACACTGCTCAGGTACCCTGCTTGCGAGTGTGTGTGTGTGTGTGTGTGTGTGTGTGTGTGTGTGTCATATCTTATGTGTTTAAAACAGATCAAATGAACAAACTGTGTGTTGTAGGATCCTGTCTCAGATATGTAAGACGCGGGCGTTTCAGAAGCTGAACCCAGCTCAGTTTGACCTGCATGACAATGTCAACGACGCTGTACATGTGAGTACATATAGAAAGACCACTTTAAAGACTACAGTTAATATTGTATTAACTATCTGTTAAAGGATCCACAGAGCTGAAAGTCTTTGTTTGCCTCAGTCTGGTACACAGGAGTGGTTCACCATAAAGAAAGGGTTACATCAGCCCATGACCAAGGTAGGCTACATACAAAGGAAGAGACTCCTCCCACATATCACTTTCAAAGCACATCAAGCATTTCTTTACCCACATTCTGTAACTTTATCTCTCTTTCCACATTCTGTAACTTTATTCCCCCCTCCTCCTCCTCGTCCCCCTCTTCCCCCCTCCTCCTCCTCCTCCTCCCCCCTCCTCCTCCTCCTCACAGGACCTGACAGCGACCGTGAGTGCTCTCTCTAGGCTGATAGGTGAAGTGCAGGAGGACATCAAGCACAACAAGGACAGCTGGAATAGAGTGTTTGTCAGGTAGGAGACAGAACGTCTGTATGGAGGGAGGTGACATTATCTGTCTTGAATATGAAGAAGGTATGTCTGTTAATCACATGAATGGACATGAATGGGTTTCTTTCTCTCTCTCTCTCTCTCTCTCTCTCTGTAGTGCTGTGCAAGTTGATGTGTTCACTGTAGTCTACCAAAAGCTGGACTCCCTGGTAAGTGGCTGTGAAAGAAAACTGCATTACTCTCTATCTCTCTTTCTTCCTGCTGTATAACTCTCTCTCTCTCTCTCTCTCTCTCTCTCTCTCCTCTCTCTCTCTCTCTCTCTCTCTCTCTCTCTCTCTCTCTCTCTCTCTCTCTCTCTCTCTCTCTCTCTCTCTCTCTCTCTCTCTCTCTCTCTCTCTCTCTCTCTCTCTCTCTCTCAGTTGGCGGGGGAGGTGAGGGAAACCCTAAACCTGTTGGAGGGTAAGATGGAGCAGAGTCTAGCCAATGGCCTGTTCCCTCTCTACCTGAGTCTACAGGCCATCCACAAAGACAAGGCCTTCCTACAGAAAAGGTCAGAGGTTACTCCCTTATACTACATACCCAGTAGCAACAAACCCTCTAAACTGGGCGCGCAGCTCCCCTCGATTGCCGTGCTGAAGAAATATGAGCCTGCACACAGAAGCACGAGTTTGAACTTCACTCAACATTCTATAGTTTTCCCCCTTTAGTTAACACTATCAACGTTTTGCTCTACTGTGGGAATTTAAATAGTAATATACCGAAACAAAACACACTATGCTAGATTTAGTATGCAAAACTAACTGTTCAAGAGATTTTCTTGTAGGCAGAGCGCATTGGAGTAGGATTCTATTCCATTGACAGCCTTGTACACAGACTGGTGCCCCATAACTAATCAGACTTGCAGTAGGCCTATATGCAAATAGCGATTGCAAAATATGTATCTGTGCCATTCACTTTGAACTGGACTGCGTTAAGGCAACAGTATGAATGGTCGGGAGTATGCGCTTGTTTTGAGATGAAAGTGAGAGCTGCATTTAGCCAAATGTTCACATTTTGTTCATATCCTTTGCTAGTTAGTGATTTATTAGCCCAGTTATAGATCATCTGTAGTCAGCAATAGGGGAGGGATTGCTTCCTACAACTGCACAAAACGTGTGCATTTCAAGCCAACTTTGAAAAGTGAGTCAGGTAAAGAGCTTTTTTTATGTCTTAAAGAGGAACTGTTGTATTTTGAGGCAGTCTTGAATAAGCTAAGTAGCCAATAGGCAGAGCGTAGCATAATTAGTCTCATTCTCTGTAATAATGGTATGGGAATAATAATGCATTTTATTTTGTAAAGTGATTTCTTGCATCAAACAACATTTTCAGTCACCTCCTTGTCTGAAGGACAAGTGGATAAACAGGTTAATGTCAAGCCCTGCATGTGTTTTTTCTCTCCAAAAGTCTCATGGAATGTAGGCCTACACTGAACACCACACATTAGCTGCTACAGTAGGCTGAATGATAGAACAGCTATTTCCATGTTAAAATGTTATGGGATGCGTTTTTCTCCATTGTTTTTGGTGGTAGGCCACTCTGGTAGGCCTACATTATGATCAAATAGCCACAGTAGCCGACTTGGCAGTGTTCACAGTAAACGGCAACGTTCAAGTTTGCACTGAGCAGAAATTGAGTGAACATTGCTCAGTAGTACACATTACTTACTCCCTTATACTATATACCCAGTACTACATACTGCTAACACACTACTCCCTGATACATACTCAGTACTTCACATTACTACACAATATACACTGAGTGTACAAAACATTAAGAACACCTTCCTAATATTGAGTTACACCCTCCCTCCCCTCAGAACAACCTCAGTTCAAAGGCACTTAAAATATTTTGTCTTGCCCATTCACCCAATGAATGGCACACATACACAATCCATGTCTCAAGGCTTAGAAATCCAAGACAAAAAACTGTAATTGCCTTTGAACTGAGTATGGTAGTAGGTGCCAGGCTGTTGCGGTGACCTTATTACCGTCACTCCGGCAGTCACGAGTCATGAAGGCAGTCAAATTCCACATGACCGTTTAGTCACGGTAATTAGGCTTCTCCAAGCTCTGATGCTGCTGCTGGTCATTAGTAGCCTACCAAACTTGCTAACTGCCTGGTACTCAGCAGGGGCGGAAAAAGTACTCAATTGTCATACTTGAGTAAAAGTAAAGATACATTTACATCATCTAGCAGACGCTCTTATCCAGAGCGACTTACAAATTGGTGCATTCAACTTATGATAGCCAGTGGGCCAACCACTTTTTTTTTTTTTTTTATGGGTGTGTGGGGGAGGGGGAGGGAGGGGTAGAAGGATTACTTTATACTATTCCAGGTATTCCTTAAAAATGAAAGTCACCCAGTAAAATACAACTTGAGTAAAAGTCTAAAAGTATTTAGTTTTAAATATACTTAAGTATCAAAAGTTAATGGAATTGCTAAAATGTACTTAAGAATCAAAAGTAAAAGTAAAAGTATAAATCATTTCAAAATCCTTATATTAAGCAAATGTTCTTTTTTTTTTTTGGACGGATAGCCAGGGGCACACTCCAACACTCAGACATCATTTACAAATGAAGCATTTGTGTTTAGTGAGTCCGCCAGATCAGAGGCAGTAGGGATGACAAGGAATGTTCTCTTGATAAGTGTGTGAATTGGTACTTTTGGGTGACAGGGAAAATGTATGAAGTAAAAAGTACATTATTTTCTTTGGGAATGTAGTGAAGTAAAAGTAAAAGTTGTCAAAAATATAAATAGTAAAGTAAAGTACAGATACCCCCAAAAAACGACTTAAATACTTTACACCACTGGTACTCATCACTCTATTGTCCCTCTAATCACTCTGACATCAATGCAAATGTTTTCGAAAATCTAATCAAACACTTAATGAGAGCCCATTAGCTCATGCTGCGCAACATTTATGTGGGCTATGCAATTGCGGGATAAAACAGAGTTTTGATGGCCTCTATTAAAAAGAGGAGGATCCCATCATCTTTCTATAGGCTAGGCCTACTATATTTATTTCTCAACCTTCCTAATATTAAGCACATTGCTTATCTTTACAACAGGAGTATAGCCTACCTGGCTGGCATGAAAATAATCCAAGGGGAAAAGCGTCCTCCATTTGCTATTTAAGTGCATGGATGACTTGTATTTCTTCCCACTGCCCGTTTCGATACAGGTGCATGATAATGGTCCATTCTAAATCAAAACAAATTTCACACATATATTATTTAATATATGTGAAGACAAGATTAAATCAAGAATAGTCTGATGGGTGACAATATTAGCCCATCACTTGTGAATTATATATTATCACTTGTGAATGATGCCCAGCATAAGAAACAATGCCTTTTTTTGTGACTTGTTCGATATAGTCGTATCACAACTAAAGTGGCCAAATAACGTCTTAAAATGAAGCACATTAATCCGCTTTACAAGGAGCATAACCGGCATATATAAGCAGCGCGTGAGTTTCAAGTTTGGGGAAGATCATTTCACCATAAAAATGCACCTTTATAATAAAAGCAGTACATGCATAATTGCATTTGCAGTCACTTTTGATAATGGTGTTTTCCCCTAATGGAACATTCGCGCTTATAGCCTACTACCATGTGCGCATTGCTGCGCTTATAATGTGAATAAATAGCCGAATAGTTTATCAACATTTTAAGCTAAACGTGCTGATCTGTTGCGTCAGCCACATTGCATTAAAAAAGGTTTTTTTGACGCTAGTGGTTGAATTAATTTTGGATCCCATCGCATCCCACAACTGTCCCAGACTATGTTTGGAATATTGATTTCTCGCACAGAATAGAAGGTCAACTTTTGTACTATGGGGGATAGTAGATTGACATAGGCTAGTGCTTTTGCTGTTCATTAGGCCTACTCATCTTGTTGGCTGACGAAAAGTAAATGTGGACAGTTCTTCCAACATCTTCAACATGCACCTCGGAATTGGATAAGGACGCGCGCAGTTGTGTCCCGGATGTGTCTGTCTTTACTTGTAGACTGTGAGAAAGACCCGATCACGTGACGGAGAGCGGCGTACACTCAGGGAGAAGGGCACAACGCAGCACTCCGGGCCGCAAAAGGCATGGATATTTTTAGGGTGCATTACGGCCACAAAGGGGATGCCGCTGTGAAATTCGAGGCATTATCAAGTGCTTGTCAAATTGTGAATTAGAGACTATTGGAGTGTGTACAGCCTGCACAAAAAAACAAAGCAGAGCTCATGCCTTTCAAGCGACTTTTTTTTTCAAACTCAATATTAGGAAGGTGTTCCTAATGTTTGGTACACTCAGTGTAGAGCTAAGGCTGTCGTGTTGTTTCAGGGTTAAACTGTTGGAGCTGACTAACTTCCATGAGGGCTTCCGTGACGCGCTTCCCTATTGGTTAAACAAGGCCTTCAGTACCACTCAGGACAGGGTGGAGAGAGCTGTACAGGTGGACCAGGTAGCATACTATTGCAACACTACACCTAGAATAGAATAGATACCAGGTAATATTTACTGTATTTACCCCCCCCCTCTCTCCTCTCTTTCCCCAGCTGCAGCCGCTGCAGTCAGGGATGGTGCCCATCAAACACAGCTCGTCAGCGGTAGACCTGGTGGCCTGTATCCAGCCCATCTGTCAGCTATGGGAGCAGCTCTCCTGGCCAGAACCTGAGGAGGCCTTCATGCTCATGGTCAAACTCACCGAGGTAGTGTATCATAAACATGCATTATCATGCATTATCATGCAAGTACACATAGTATCTCATCGTAACCAGACGAGAACATGCTCTGTCATACATTATCATACACGCATTTAATATTGTTGGCATACAAGTTTTAGCTCATTTTAATGTGTTTGCGTGTGGGTTCAGGACGTGTGCAAGATCGTGGTGAACTACTGTCGTATCCTGAAGGAGCGGGTCAGAGTGCTGTCTGAGAACTCTGACCACAGCAGCGCTGTCAACAGGGTGAAGGAAATAACACTCCTCCCTCTATCTATTCCACTTTCATTCCTCTCTGCTCCATCTCTTTCTTTCCTCTTTTCCTTCTCTCTCCTTCTACTTGTGTCCATCTCAATCACATTTTTTTTTTTGTCTATCACCTTTTCTCTCAACTACATTGTGTTAATTTCCACCTCTCTGTGTCTCCCCCCCCCCCCCCCCCTCCAGCTGTGTGTAGTAGTGAATGACCTGGAACACCTGAGGTCGGTGCTGACCCGCCTTCCCCAGCAGCTCAACTGGGCAGGGCTTCGAGAACGCACCCGTGACGTGATAGGGGACCCTCAGTTCCACAACGTGCTCCCCTCACAGCTGCAGCATACACAGGGGGTCCTCAACCGAGAGATACGCTCCGCCTTAGAGACCGTTGGACGGAAGGTAGGAGGAGAGAGGGCTGGGGAGGGGTTAGATGGAGCGGAGTGTAGAGAGATCCAGACCATATTGATACATTGGCCTATAGTCCCCTTCTTCAATATAGAATTTGAAGTCTCTCTGTCTCTCTCTAGCTGAATTCAGATATTGAGACGTACGTCCGCAGCATGTCTACTCGACACAGACTCCCCTCCAAGTCCACTGAAGATGTAAGAAACTGTCATCGTTAGCCATTTACAATTCAGCGATACTGGATTTATAAACAACCATTTCCTTTTGTGTTATGAGGGCCCTGTGTTTTGGGTTATCATGTCACATGACCTAGATTTTAACCTTTATCTCCAGAAATTAGAATGAAAGCAATAGAGTACCACAGTATGATTCATAATACCCATAAAACCTAGCGGTCAAACAGGAAAATGGTTCCAATCATTTTTCCACCATTCATTTTTCCCATAGGGGATTTTAGAAACACTTAAAATAAAGGCTGTGTTTCATGTAGGCTTACCCTGGCGTGACGTTTTGATAACAGTGTAAATATCTCTTGGACAAGGTGACTTTTATCAATACATTTGCCTGTATTTACCCCCCCCCCCCAAAAAAAAAAAAATGAAATGCTAATAAGTTGTAATGTGGCTATCATAAAGAACTACAAATGCCATGATGCTCTGGATGAGCCTGCCGAATCGAGGCAAAGGTAAGAATCTCTGGATTAACTATCTAACGTTAGCTAAATTGACAATTCTGTGAACTGTCTTGGGCAAGTTTTGAATTTACACAATACCTGTTAGAAAAGGTGTCAGCTAGAGATGATGTGCAGGAATTTGTAGTTTAGCATGATGTCTACTTTGATGCTAATTAGCATTTTCGAATCTGAGAGTAAATAAATCAAATCAAATCAAATTTTATTGGCCACATGCGCCGAATACAACAGGTGCAGACATTACAGTGAAATGCTTACAGCCCTTAACCAACAGTGCATTTATTTTTAATAAAAAAGTAAAATAAAACAACAACAAAAAAGTGTTGAGAAAAAAAGAGCAGAAGTAAAATAAAATAACAGTAGGGAGGCTATATATACAGGGGGGTACCGGTGCAGAGTCAATGTGCGGGGGCACTGGCTAGTTGAGGTAGTTGGAAGTAATATGTACATGTGGGTAGAGTTAAAGTGACTATGCATAAATAATTAACAGAGTAGCAGCAGCGTAAAAAGATGGGGTGGGGGGTGGGGTGTGGGGGCAATGCAAATACTCCGGGTAGCCATGATTAGCTGTTCAGGGGTCTTATGGCTTCGGGAAGTCTTTTGGACCTAGACTTGGCACTCCGTTACCGCTTGCCGTGCGGTAGCAGAGAGAACAGTCTATGACTAGGGTGGCTGGAGTCTTTGACAATTTTGAGGGCCTTCCTCTGACACCGCCTGGTATAGAGGTCCTGGATGGCAGGAAGCTTGGCCCCAGTGATGTACTGGGCCGTACGCACTACCCTCTGTAGTGCCTTGCGGTCGGAGGACAAGCAGTTGCCATACCAGGCGGTGATGCAACCAGTCAGGATGCTCTCGATGGTGCAGCTGTATAATTTTTTGAGGATCTGAGGACCCATGCCAAATCTTTTCAGTCTCCTGAGGGGGAATAGGCTTTGTCGTGCCCTCTTCACGACTGTCTTGGTGTGTTTGGACCATGATAGTTCGTTGGTGATGTGGACACCAAGGAACTTGAAGCTCTCAACCTGTTCCACTACAGCCCCGTCGATGAGAATGGGAGCGTGCTCAGTCCTCTTCTTTTTCCTGTAGTCCACAATCATCTCCTTTGTCTTGGTCACGTTGAGGGAGAGGTTGTTATCCTGGCACCACACGGCCCGGTCTCTGACCTCCTCCCTATAGGCTGTCTCATCATTGTCGGTGATCAGGCCTACCACTGTTGTGTCATCGGCAAACTTAATGATGGTGTTGGAGTCGTGCCTGGCCATGCAGTCATGGGTGAACAGGGAGTACAGGAGGGGACTGAGCACGCACCCCTGAGGGGCCCCCGTGTTGAGGATCAGTGTGGCAGATGTGTTGTTACCTACCCTTACCACCTGGGGGCGGCCCGTCAGGAAGTCCAGGATCCAGTTGCAGAGGGAGGTGTTTAGTCCCAGGATCCTTAGCTTAGTGATGAGCTTTGAGGGCACTATGGTGTTGAATGCTGAGCTGTAGTCAATGAATAGCATTCTCACGTAGGTGTTCCTCTTGTCCAGGTCGGAAAGGGCAGTGTGGAGTGCAATAGAGATTGCATCATCTGTGGATCTGTTGGGGCGGTATGCAAATTGGAGTGGGTCTAGGATTTCTGGGATAATGGTGTTGATGTGAGCCATGACCAGCCTTTCAAAGCACTTCATGGCTACAGACGTCAGTGCTACGGGTCGGTAGTCATTTAGGCAGGTTATCTTAAGTGTCCTTGGGCACGGGGACTATGGTGGTCTGCTTGAAACATGTTGGTATTACAGACTCAGGAAGGGAGAGGTTGAAGATGTCAGTGAAGACACCTGCCAGTTGGTCAGTCAGGGACATGTTGAAAATGTCAGCATATGCTCGGAGTACACATCCTGGTAATCCGTCTGGCCCTGCGGCCTTGTGAATGTTGACCTGCTTAAAAGTCTTACTCACATTGGCTACGGAGAGCGTGATCACATAGTCATCCGGAACAGCTGGTGCTCTCATGCATGCTTCAGTGTTGCTTGCTTCGAAGCGAGCATAGAAGTGGTTTAGCTCGTCTGGTAGGCTTGTGTCACTGGGCAGCTCACGGCTGTGCTTCCCTTTGTAGCCTGTAATAGTTTTCAAGCCCTGACACATCCGACGAGCGTCAGATCCGGTGTAGTACGATTCAATCTTAGTCCTGTATTGACTCTTTGCCTGTTTGATGGTTCGTCGGAGGGCATAGCGGGATTTCTTATAAGCGTCCGGGTTAGAGTCCCGCTCCTTGAAAGTGGCAGCTCTACCCTTTAGCTCAGTGCGGATGTTTCCTGTAATCAATGGCTTCTGGTTGGGGTATGTACGTACGGTCACTGTGGGGACGACATCATCGATGCACTTATTGATGAAGCCAGTGACTGATGTGGTGTACTCCTCAATGCTATCTGAAGAATCCCGGAACATGTTCCAGTCTGTGCTAGCAAAACAGTCCTGTAGCTTAGCATCTGCGTCATCTGACCACTTTTTTATTAACCGAGTCACTGGTGCTTCCTGCTTTAGTTTTTGCTTATAAGCAGGAATCAGGAGGATAGAGTTATGGTCAGATTTGCCAAATGGAGGGCGAGGGAGAGCTTTGTATGCGTCTCTGTGTGTGGAGTAAAGGTGGTCTATAGTTTTTTTTCCTCTGGTTGCACAATTAACATGCTGGTAGAAATTAAGTAGAATGGATGTAAGTTTCCCTGCATTAAAGTCCCCGGCCACTAGGAGCGCTGCCTCTGGATGAGCGTTTTCCTGTTCACTTATGGCCTTATACAGCTCATTGAGTGCAATCTTAATGCCAGCATTGGTTTGTGGTGGTAAATAGACAGCTATGAAAAATATAGATGAAAACTCTCTTGGTAAATAGTGTGGTCTACAGCTTATCATAAGATACTCTACCTCAGGCGAGCAAAACCTCGAGACTTCCTTAGTATTTGATTTTGTGCACCAGCTGTTGTTTACAAATATACACAGACCGCCAACCCTTGTCTTACCGGAGTCAGCCGTTCTATCCTGCCGATGTAGCGTATAGCCCGCTAGCTGTATGTTGTCCATGTCGTCGTTCAGCCACGACTCGGTGAAACATAAGATATTACCGTTTTTAATGTTCCGTTGGTAGGATAACCGTAATCTTAGGTCATCCAATTTATTCTCAAATGATTGAAGATTGGCTAATAGGATTGATGGGAGAGGCAGTTTACTCGCTCGCCGTCGGATCCTTACAAGGCACCCCGACCTACGTCCACAATATCTCAGTCTCTTTCTCATGCGAATGACGGGGATTTGGGCCTTGTCGGGTGTCTGTAGGATATCCTTCGCGGCCGCCTCGTTGAAGAAAAAATCTTTGTCCAATACGAGGTGAGTAATCGCTGTCCTGATATCCAGAAGCTCTTTTTGGTTATAAGAGACGATGGCAGAAACATTATGTACAAAATAAATGACAAATGACGCGGAAAAACACACATAATAGTACAATTGGTTAGAGGGCTGTAAAACGGCAGCCATGTTCTCCGGCGCCATTCAGTAGAGCTGAATAGATTGATAAAAGTCACCTTGTCCGAGAGAGATTTACATGGTTATCAAAACGTCATGCCAGGGTAAGCCTACACGAAACACAGCCCTTATTTTAAGTGTTTCTAAAATATCCTATGGGGAAAATTAATGGTGTAAAAATGATTGGAACCATTTCCCTGTTTGACCACTAGGTTTTATGGATATTATGAAAAAGCTTTAAATAAAGGTTAAAATCCAGGTCATATAACATGATTGTCCAAAACACAGGGCCCTAGTTTATGATGACTGATGAAAAGCATGTTACTGAACTGTTCCACGTGTCCACCATCCCAGGCTGTGGTTCCTCTGATGAAATTTCTGGAGAAAGAGTTGCAGTACATGAATGAGAACCTGGTTCAGGAGAACTTTAACAGGTACACACACACACACACACACACACACACACACACACACACACACACACACACACACACACACACACACACCTGTGGTTCAACCAGTACTGAGGATTTATTACCCACTGTGTTCCAGCATACCTCTATGAATATCTTAGAGCAGTGGTTTCCAGCATACCTCTATGAATATCTTAGAGCAGTGGTTTCCAACATACCTCTATGAATATCTTAGAGCAGTGGTTTCCAGCATACCTCTATGAATATCTTAGAGCAGTGGTTTCCAGCATACCTCTATGAATATCTTAGAGCAGTGGTTTCCAGCATACCTCTATGAATATCTTAGAGCAGTGGTTTCCAACATACCTCTATGAATATCTTAGAGCAGTGGTTTCCAACATACCTCTATTAATATCTTAGAGCAGTGGTTTCCAACATACCTCTATGAATATCTTAGAGCAGTGGTTTCCAGCATACCTCTATGAATATCTTAGAGCAGTGGTTTCCAGCATACCTCTATGAATATCTTAGAGCAGTGGTTTCCAGCATACCTCTATGAATATCTTAGAGCAGTGGTTTCCAGCATACCTCTATGAATATCTTAGAGCTGTGGTTTCCAGCATACCTCTATGAATCTCTTAGAGCTGTGGTTTCCAGCATACCTCTATGAATCTCTTAGAGCAGTGGTTTCCAGCATACCTCTATGAATATCTTAGAGCAGTGGTTTCCAACATACCTCTATGAATCTCTTAGAGCAGTGGTTTCCAGCATACCTCTATGAATATCTTAGAGCAGTGGTTTCCAAGCCTTTGAAATATGTTTGTCATCTCCCTCTTCCTTCCTTGGGCAGTCTGTTGACTCCGTTGTGGACTAACTCCATAAGGACCTTATACCAGGTGGCTACACAGCAGAAACTAGAGGGAGGACTCATGGTGTTCTGTCAACGACTGCAGTACACACTCCAGGTTAGTACACTACTGAGTACACACTCCAGGTTAGTATAGTACTGCAGTACACACTCTAGGTTAGTATAGTACTGCAGTACACACTCTAGGTTAGTATAGTACTGCAGTACACACTATAGGTTAGTACAGTACTGCAGTACACACTCCAGGTTAGTACACTGCTGAGTACACACTCCAGGTTAGTGCAGTACACACTCTAGGTTAGTATAGTACTGCAGTACACTCTCTAGGTTAGTATAGTACTGAGTACACACTCTAGGTTAGTATAGTACTGCAGTACACACTCCATGTTAGTATAGTACTGCAGTACACACTCCAGGTTAGTATAGTACTGCAGTACACACTCCAGGTTAGTAAAGTACTGCAGTACACACTCCAGGTTAGTATAGTACTGAGTACACACTCCAGGGGTCGCACAGTACTGCAGTACACACTCTAGGTTAGTATAGTACTGCAGTACACACTCCAGGTTAGTATAGTACTGCAGTATACACTCCAGGTTAGTACAGTGCTGAGTACACACTCCAGGTTCTCTCAGTACTGCAGTACACACTCCAGGTTAGTACAGTGCTGAGTACACACTCCAGGTTAGTATAGTACTGCAGTACACACTCCAGGTTAGTACAGTGCTGAGTACACACTCCAGGTTAGTATAGTACTGCAGTATACACTCCAGGTTAGTACAGTGCTGAGTACACACTCCAGGTGAATACACTTTTCTTAAGTACACACTTCAGGACATTTCTGACTGTGTGTTGCAGTGTCTGGAGCAGTGTTTTTATGCTGAGGGGAATGGACTGCCACTGGATACCCTACACACAGACGACTACAAGGTGAGTTCATGTTGGTTACATTGCACTTTATATTGTTAGAACTTTATATGGTTCTATAAGGACATGTAGAAACATGAAATGGGGGACCTTGGGTTATGAACACTGTACAATAACCCTCTTTCCTCTCTCACCTCATTCATTCAGACTCTGAAATCTCACCTGACACACAACTCTCTCAACTGCCAGCAGCTCATAGAAAAATTCCTGGATAGAAAAGTATGGGAGCAGGTAAGAGCGTATTCTATTTGTGTGGTATAGCAGTAAAAAACAGAGCTATACTGAATACATTGGATTGAATCTGCGTTTTTGTGTGTGTAACAGAAGGTTTACAGTGGAGAGAAGTACGGCGCGGTCACACTCAAAGCATCCTACAGGAGATCTGATCTTAGACTTAGAGTGGAAGTGTTGAATGCAGCTAACCTCCTACCCATGGACTCCAACGGTCAGTAGTTTCCTCTCCTTGTCTCCTTCCCTTGATCTATATGGATGTGAAAGTGCAAGACAGGTCTTCTTAAAGATCAGATATCCCTTCTGTCTCTCTCCAGGTTCCAGTGATCCGTTTGTCCAGTTGTGTCTGGAGCCTCGTCATGTGTTCCCTGAGGTGGAGCCTCGCAACACACAGATCAAGAACTGTGACCTCAACCCCTTGTTCGACGAGGCCTTCGAGTTGTAAGCACTAGCTCCAACTGCTACCCCTCCGTCGCTACATTGGTGGCAGACGAATAATCCAAGTCTCTCAGATCTTTGTTGAAAACGTGTTAGAAGAGTTAAAGCAACCACCTTTTTTCACTTCAACATTGTCTCCTACTCTTGCCTACCCTCAGGAACTATACAGGTAATCACTCTCTCCCACATCCCTCTCTTTGTCGTCTACTCCATGTACCCCCTCTATCAGTATGGTGTCATTGGAGCAGTGCCAGGCTGCGGGGGCGTGTCTGTTGGTGACAGTGTTGGACTATGACACCCTGAGAACAGACGACTTCGAGGGGGAGGCCTTCCTGGCTCTGAAAGCAGTGCCGGGTGTCGGAGGGGGGCCGGGGTTACAGCCAGACCCCTACCCGGCCCAGATACGCCTGCCGCTCATACACCCCAAACCCAACGGTACGATTATGGTAATTCACTTATGTGAAAAGGAACATGTACTTGCATGATACTGACGTGCGCTCCTTTTGTCCAGATGACAGTATCCTGAAGCTGTTGGAGTCGCGGAGAGGAGAGAGGGAGGCTCAGGTGTTTGTGAAGAAACGCAGACAGAGAGAGAAACAGTCACAGGAGAAACAATAAGGATAATAGCAAAAATATGTATTTTATTGTTCTATACCAAAACAGACTCAATTAAACACTGTTAGTGGATGCAGTAAAGGTGTGGACTGTGTGCCAGGCATTTGTCTGTGTATAGTATAAGTGTTCTTCACAATGATATTTTCACCGGATAGCAACACACACACACACACACACACACACACACACACACACACACACACACACACACACACACACACACACACACACACACACACACACACACACACACACACACACACACACACACACACACACACACACACACACACACACACACACACACACACACACACACACAGCTGCTGTGTCCAAAGCAGAGGTGGTACCTGATAGCTGGTGTAGTCAGTGCATGGGGCAATTGTGACATACAATAACTATGTATATTTGACACCAGTTTAAAATACTGTGCAATATCGAAAATGCGTTACAAATTTAAATTATGGCCCCAAATAAATGATACCTTGATTTTTATACCAAAAAAAAAGGCTGGTTGTTTGACAGAAACGAAATGGCATTTGAGTTCACATGAAGCGCCTTGTTATTAAATGAACAAATATACATTATTTCAAAGACTACACAATTGACTAGTATATATTTTTTCAAGATTGTGTTGTTAACACGCCCCCCATCTTTCCAGTTATCAAAGAATAATATTACAGACAGCAAACCTGAGAGTCAGAAACTATTTGTACGAAACACAGACTGCTGCGTCCAAATAGTCTAACATGGCTTTCCTTCCTTCTTTTCAGGCTTCCACCATATTCCCTTCCTCTAGTTTCAGATCAGTGCGAAGGAGACAAGGAGAGGAAGCATTTTCAAGACTATTGAGATGCATGCCTATAAGTCTCGTTAGCAAAACAATCACTGACTTTGCCTTCACTTCTCTAGAAAAAGCATGAAAATTCTATGAAAAATAGAAAATGTTTTTATTTTAACAGTAAAAACTAAGAAATTGTACTCCCAGCAGTCTTCAATGGTGGCCACTTACGCCTTGATCACACCGACAGCATAATTGCGCGAAATGGTCCGCAGCATCATCTGGATAAGTGTGTAACAAAAGTTCAACATTCACCTTCTGCTACCATTTCTGTCAAGCCGTCTACATATACAGTTTGACGCATAGGTTCAATAAATCCAATGTATGCACCACACAGAACGCACTGCAACTGCCTCTGCAACGCAATGCTGCAAGGCTAACGCAGCGTTCCATTGGAAATTAATGTACTTCTGGTGTACCAAAACGCAATGACACTGTCGGTGTGATCGAGGCATTAGGCTGTAGCATCATGGGATAGCGGTCAAGAGTGCCCTTAACAACTGACTGAGTCAGTTGTGTGGTTTAGTTCGTAATTGTTAAAGTCAGGTCTGTGGTGAGGAGAGCTGATCCTGAATCATTTCTTATGCACACGCAGTGTTTGAGTAAAACATTTCTAATCTAGGGACAGCAGGATGGTCTCTGGGTGAGGATATCTGATCTAGGATCAGAGGTAAGAGACAACAGATTATCTATACTCCACAGCGTTAGAACAACTGGTCTGGATCTGGTCTAAAGTCAGTCACTCAGTGTTAGGGTCAACTGGGCTGTTTGAGTAAGTGAATAGGGCTGGTCTGAGATCAGTGTCGGGGGATCTGCTGGGCTGTAGCTAGTTTGGTCAGGATAACTGATCCAGGGTCTGTTCTGGACAGAGGGGGCACTCTGTAGAGCAGCTGTCACACTGTAGACCGTGTCCACAGGGCTGAGAGACTGAGCCCTGTCCTCCACACATCACACAACACTGCCTCTGCTTTCTATACACCACCTGGATGGGGGGATGAGAGAGAGAGAGAGAGAGAGAGAGCGAGTGAGAGAGAAGAGAAATATAGGGAGAAAGAGAGAGAAAAGTCTGCTAGTTAGTTGGGGAATGTTTCACATCAACAAGCATGGTTCTGTGTGTGTGTGTGTGTGTCTGTCCTCTACCTGCTCCACGGCTTGTAGACATGTACAGAGCTGGGCCTGCAGACTGACGACAGACTCTAGAGGCAGTCTGTGGATCAGCTGTAGCTGGTGCAGGGCCAGGTGGGGGTTTTCTCCTGCCCTCATGCCCTCCAGCGCCTCCTGGAGGAAGGAGGTCTGTCTCTGCGCCTGCTCCTCAGCCTGCCTGGCACGCTCTGCTTCTAAAGCTAACCGTCCGGCCGAGCCGCGAGACTCCTCCGCATCCGACTTCAAAGCCGCCCACGACTGGAGTGAGAGAGGGATGTAGAGAGAGAGAGGGCGAGGATGGAGAAAGAGAGAGAGAGAGGGCGAGGGTGGCGAGAGAGAGAGAGAGAGAGGGCGAGGATGGAGAGAGAGAGAGAGAAAGGGCAGGGATGAGAGAGAGAGAGAGAGAGAGATGGAGAGAGAGAGAGAGAGAGAGGGCGAGGATGGAAAGAGAGAGAGGGCAGGGATGGAGAGAGAGAGGGTGATGGGAGAAACATGAGAAAAGAGGGAGGGAGCGACAGAGGGAGGAAAGGGGAAGAGGGAAAAATGTTGAAGTCTGACCCTTTTGATGGTTTATTGGCGTACACTAACACACACACACCTACTCCTCGTACCTGTGCTGTATGTCTCCAGGTGTGGTCCCAGTGTTTCAGTAGTCTGTTAGTATCGTCTAGTTCCTGTCGGACCCGGGCTGTCTCCACGCTCTGGCCCATGGTGGGTAGCAGGGCCGGCGGCGTACCGGGGGAACCCTGGCCTGACGGGTGCTCCCAGATACTACTGCTCACACCATTCAGACCTGCAATACAGGAGACATGAGACACATGGGACATATTTATTAACTTGAGGTGTCTCTAGAAAGTATGGGAAATGTTTGGCCACATTTTTCTAATCTAGCAGGATTTGGGCAGAAAAATACATAATCTAAAAACATGTCCACAAACCTAGAGAGCTATGCGATGGCCCCAAGAAGCTGCTTTCTGATTGGCTGGGCTGCGACAGATGGGAGGAGAAGAACGGTGACTGGTGGGCTCTGATTGGTGGAGAGGGCGAGGGCGAGCTGAAAGGGGCGGAGCTGCAGAGGGATCCTGGAATGTTGACGGGAGCCGAACTCTGGAGCTGGTTCCCTCCTGCAGAATCAATCAATAATTTAATCAAGCAATCATGACATTCCACTCAGGTAGGTGTGTGTGTGTGTGTCTCGGCTCCATACCCACCCAGCATGGCTCGGGGCATAGCTGAGCTGCTGTCCAGGCTTCTCTCCAGGGCAGACATCCCAAAGTCATTCAGGTCCAGGTCATCCAGAGCTGACTCTATACAACACATCAACAAAAACTAAATGTTACTTACTCAGATCTGTCCCACACAGGGCTCTAAAGGGCATACATTTTGGTCACATATGTTCCTAGATATTTTTTTTTGTTCAACCTGACAATTTATTTTGGGTGCACCAGTGCAGATAATAACAGTTGTAATGATAGGCTTCACTGGGAAGTTGTTTCTGAGTGCCCTAGAGAAAAAAGCGAGCGACGGTTCGATCAATCCAAAGCTTACAGCGCCTTGCAAAAGTATCCATCCCCCTTGGCATTTTTCCTATTTTGTTGCATTACAACCTGTAATTAAAATTGATTTTTATTTGGATTTCATGTAATGGACATACACAAACAGTCCAAATTTGTGAAGTGAAATGAAAAAAATAACTTGTTTCAAAAACTTCTAAATAGTAAATAACAGAAAAGTGGTGCGTGCATATGTATTCACCCCCTTTGCTATGAAGCCCCTAAATAAGATCTGGTGCAACCAATTACCTTCAGAAGTCACATAATTAGTTAAATGAAGTCCACCTGTGTGCAATCTAAGTGTCACATGATCTGTCACATGATCTCAGTATATATACACATCTGTTCTGAAAGGCCCCAGAGTCTGCAACACCACTAAGCAAGGGGCACCACCAAACAAGCGGCACCATGAAGACCAAGGAGCTCTCCAAACAGGTCAGGGCCAGAGTTGTGGAGAAGTCCAGATCAGGGTTGGGTTATAAAAAAATATTCTAAACTTTGGACATCCCACGGAGCACCATTAAATCCATTATTAAAAAATTGAAAGAATATGGCACCACAACAAACCTGCCAAGAGAAGGCCGCCCACCAAAACTCACGGACCAGGCAAGGAGGGCATTAATCAGAGAGGCAACAAAGACACCAAAGAAACCCTGAAGGAGCTGCAAAGTTCCATAGCGGAGATATCGGAAGTATCTGTCCATAGGTCCACTTTAAGCCATACACTCCACAGAGCTGGGCTTTACGTAAGAGTGGCCAGAAAAAAGCCATGCTTAACAGAGAAGGCACACCAAATAGAGCCTGTTGATGGTGTGTGCGCCAAGACCAAGGACATCCTGATATGGGAGACCGCATTTCTGGAGCATGGCGTTGCAACAACATAGGCAATGAAGGCTCACTACTAGGCTCAGATGTGACTGATTAAGTAAAAAAATTGAGGCATATGGTGGCCATCAAGGAAATGCTATGTCTGGCGCAACCCAACACCTCTCATCACCCGAGAACACCATCCCGCAGTGAAGCATGGTGGTGGCAGCATCATGCTGTGGGGATGTTTTTTAATCGGCAGGAACTGGGAAACTGGTCAGAATTGAAGGAATGATGGATGGCGCTAAATACAGGGAAATTCTTGAGGGAAACCTGTTTCAGTCTTCCAGAGATTTGAGACTGGGATGGAGGTTCACCTTCCAGCAGGACAATGACCCTAAGCATACTGCTAAAGCAACACTCGAGTGGTTTAAGGGAAACATTTTAGAAATGTCTTGGAATGGCCTAGTCAAAAAGCCCAGCCTCAATCCAATTGAAGAATCTGTGATTATGACTTAAGAGATTGCTGTACAACCAGCGGAACCCCATCCACTTGAAAGGAGCTGAGCAGTTTTTGCTTGAAGATGGGCAGAATCCCCGTGGCTATATTTGCCAACTTATAGAGACTACCCCAAAAGCCTTGCAGCTGTAAGTTGCGCTTGCAAAAGTGGCTCTACAAAGTATTGACTTGGGGGGGGGGGGGGGGATAGTTATGCACGTGGTTTCAGTTTTTTTGTTATTCTTGTTTGTTTAACAAAAAAATGTTGACTCAAAGTGGTGGGATGTTGTGTAATCCATTTATGGTGGGGCCCTAGAAATGCAAAGGGGGTGAATACTTTCGCAGCACTGTACATGTAAAGCATATTAAAGAACGCATCAGTGAATTTGTATTTCTTGCAACTTTATGAAGACATGGGAATGCCTGTGTCTACCACTTTGTGTAGCCAGCCAGTCATTTCTAAAGGCTTTCCCATAAAGTAGACTTACCTGGCAGAATGATACGATGATGGGTTTTATCAATCGGGTGGTCTTTTGTTTTGCTAACTCTGCTATTGCGCATGCATTACATACAGTTGAAGTCGGAGGTTGATATACACATAGGTTGGAGCCATTAAAACTCGTTTTTCAACCACTCCACAAATTTATTGTTAAAAAACTATAGTTTTGGCAACTTCGTGGGACATCATGGTAAAATCAAAAGAAATCAGCCAAGACCCCAGAAAACAATTTGTAGACCTCCATAAGTCTGGTTCATCCTTGGGAGCAATGTCCAAATACCTGAAGGTACCATGTTCATCTGTACAAACAATAGTACGCAAGTATAAATACCATGGGACCACGCAGCCATCATACCGCTCAGGAAGGAGATGCGTTCTGTCTCCTAGAGATGAATGTACTTTGGTGCAAAAAGTGCAAATCAATCCCAAAACAACAGCAAAGGACCTTGTGAAGATGCTGGAGGAAACAGGTACAAAAGTATCTATATCCACAGTAAAGCGAGTCCAATATCGACATAACCTGAAAGGCCGCTCAGCAAGGAAGAAGCCACTGCTCCAAAACCGCCATAGAAAAGCCAGACTACGGTTTGCAACTGCACATGGGGACAAAGATCGTACTTTTTGGAGAAATGTCCTCTGGTCTGATTAAACAAAAATATAACTGTTTGGCCATAATGACCATTGTTATGTTTGGAGGAAAAAGGAGGAACTTGCAAGCCGAAGAACACCATCCCAACCGTGAAGCACGGGGGTGGCAGCATCATGCTGTGGGGGTGCTTTGCTGCAGGAGAGACTGGTGCACTTAGATGGCATCATGAGGAAGGAAAATTATTTGGATATATTGAAGCAACATCTCAAGACATCAGTCAGGAAGTTAAAGCTTGGTCGCAAATGGGTCTTCCAAATGGACAATGACCCCAAGCATACTTCCAAAGTTGTGGCAAAATGGCTTAAGGACAACAAAGTCAAGGTATTGGAGTGGCCATCACAAAGCCCTGACCTCAATCCTATAGAAAATGTGTGGCCAGAACTGAAAAAGTGTGTGCGAGCAAGGAGGCCTACAAACCTGACTGTTAAACCAGCTCTGTCAGGAGAATGGGCCAAAATTCACGCAACTTATTGTGGGAAGCTTGTGGAAGGCTACCTGAAATGTTTGACCCAAGTTAAACAATTTAAAGGCAATGCTACCAAATACTAATTGAGTGTATGTAAACTTCTGACCCACTGGGAATGTGATGAAATAAATCATTCTCTCTACTATTATTCTGACATTTCACATTCTTAAAATAAAGTGGTGATCCTAACTGACCTAAAACAGGGAATTTTTACTAGGATTAAATATCAGGAATTGTGAAAAATTGAGTTTAAATGTATTTGGCTAAGGTGTATGTAAACTTCATCGACTTCAACTGTAACACCACCAGCCAAACACCAGTCTCTTGAGGTGGGCAATTGAAATTAAAAAGCAACTATACCCTTCTAAATATTTATATATTTTTCTTCCCCAGACCACAAAAGTGGTCTCCTGGTGTGGTTTAAGCATAGTTGTGGACTTTGAAAAGTGCATTTTGAGAGTGAATAGCTGAAAACAATGGGGGAAATCCAAAACCTGGAGAATGTTTTGGTGTTAAATGTATTAGCTGGTAAAATTCTGAGTGGCTGGTAGATTTTTTCATCTACCTGCCAGTGGACCAAATAGTTAGTTTGTAGGCCCTGTTCAAAAACCATGTCGAAGGTCAGTTCCAAAACCACTCACTGGCATTTGTTTACACCTTGTTCAGTCTTGTTATCTCATTAGCTAGCTAGCTAACAACCTGGTTACTTTACCAGTATATCTAAACATCTGGGGGCACAGAAAGGAAAAGGGATAGCTTCTTTAGAAGATCAATGATCGTAGAATGAATGAATGACTGATCCCTCGCATGTCGCCACTCACTAACTTGACGCTCTTAAAGAGGCAGTGTAGAATTTCCAATGTAACTCATCTCAATAGTTAGTGCTTTTACACAATGTAGAAACTTATTCTACAAATGACTTTGCAATTTCAATGGCAGATTTTTTGTATCATCATTTTAGGTTCTTATAATAAACAAATGTCTTTACAGGGTTGAATAATAGTTTCTGGAGCTCAACATGTGCTTCAAAAGTTGCTAGAATTCATATTGGCCTAATATGCTATATCCCAATCAATTAAACAGATATATATTCTTGTGCTTATAGATTTTATGTTGTGCTCCTAACTTTTTTAAGTTGGGAGCACCAGTGCTACCAATGAAATTTTTTCATTTAGAGCCCTGGTCCCACGTTAATCAAGTGATCCCGTGTCAATACTCTTCAGATATATCCTATGTAATTGCCCCATTTTTTATTTAATGGAATGTTAGGAAGTAAACTACAATAGTTAGCTGCTTGTACAGTGGCCAGCTGCTTGTACAGTGGCCAGCTGCTTGTACAGTGGCCAGCTGCTTGTACAGTGGCCAGCTGCTTGTACAGTGGCCAGCTGCTTGTACAGTGGCCAGCTGCTTGTACAGTGGCCAGCTGCTTGTACAGTGGCCAGCTGCTCTGACTAAGAGTAATAAGAGTTGAAAGAGTATTCTGTGCCTATGTGACTGACTCACCAACTACAGACTCGACGGTGTCGCTGGTGGGGTAGAAGGGCAGTGCGTTGGCATTCATGCCCGAGGAGAGGCCTGGTGTTGGGGCTCCGTGGTGGCCCTGGTGTAGGGGTCCTGGAGGGGCCGGGCTGGGAGGGGTGGCTGCCAGGCTGGAGGGAACACTGGAGGACAGACTCAGAGGACTACCCACTGGGAGGAACACCAACAGATCCTAGAGAGAGAGAGAAAGAGAGGGGGGGGGCAGGAGAGAGAGAGAGAGAGAGAGAGAGAGAGAGAGAGAGAGAGGAGAGAGAGAGAGAGAGAGAGAGAGAGAGAGAGAACAGAGAGAGAGAGAGAGCGAGAGAGGGGGGGAACAAGAGAGAGAGAGAACAGAGACAGAGCAGAAGGGTGGTGATACTATCTATATGCAGACTAACAGTGGGTTGGGTATAGTTATAGTATAGCTATATTATAGTTATAGTTAGTTATAGTATAGTTATAGTATAGTTATAGTATAGTTATAGTATAGTTATAGTATAGTTATAGTTAGTTATGGGATAGTTATAGTATAGTTATAGTTAGTTATAGTATAGTTTAGTTAGTTAGTTATAGTTATGGATAGTTATAGTTAGTATAGTTATAGTTAGTTTAGTAGTAGTTAGTTATAGTTAGTTTATAGTATAGTTAGTTAGTTATAGTATAGTATAGTTGTATAGTTATAGGTATAGTTATAGTTAGTTATAGTATTATAGTTAGTTTAGTATAGTTATAGTATAGTTAGTATGTATAGTTAGTTAGTTATAGTTAGTTGTATTTAGTTAGTGTTATAGTAGTATATTAGTTAGTATAGTTATAGTATAGTTAGTTAAGTTAGTTATAGTATAGTTATAGTGCAATAAGCTATGTAGCCTAATAGTTTCTGCATTCAACAACGTGAACAAGCAAGACAATGAGACAGCAAGACAATGAGACAGCAAGACAATGAGACAGCGAGACAATGAGACAGCAAGACAATGAGACAGCAAGACAATGAGACAATGAGACAGCAAGACAATGAGACAGCAAGACAATGAGACAGCGAGACAATGAGACAGCGAGACAATGAGACAGCGAGACAATGAGACAGCGAGACAATGAGACAGCGAGACAATGAGACAGCGAGACAATGAGACAGCGAGACAATGAGACAGCGAGACAATGAGACAGCGAGACAATGAGACAGTAAGACAATGAGACAGCAAGACAATGAGACAGCGAGACAATGAGACAGCGAGACAATGAGACAGCAAGACAATGAGACAGTGAGACAATGAGACAGCGAAATGAGACAGCAAGACAATGAGACAGCGAGACAATGAGACAGCGAGACAATGAGACAGTGAGACAATGAGACAGCGAGACAATGAGACAATGAGACAGCGAGACAACGAGACAGCGAGACAACGAGACAGCGAGACAACAAGACAAGGAGACAGCGAGACAACAAGACAACGAGACAGCAAGACAACGAGACAGCAAGACAATGAGACAGCAAGACAACAAGACAGCAAGACAACGAGACAGCGAGACAACAAGACAATGAGACAGCAAGACAATGAGACAGCAAGACAACAAGACATTGAGACAGCGAGACAACGAGACAGCGAGACAACGAGACAGCAAGACAATGAGACAGCAAGACAATGACATGCTGGCTGAAGCAGCAACAGAAACCCTGGCCAATAATGTCTAATTATATAATGAACAAAAATATAAACGCACATGCAACAATTTCAAAGATTTTACTGAGTTACAGTTCATATAAGGAAATCAGTCAATTGAAATAAATTAATTAGGCCCTTATCTATGGATTTCACATGACTGGGCAGGGGCGCAACCATGGGTGAAGCTGAGAGGGCATAGGCCCACCCACTTGGGAGCCAGGCCCAGCCAATCAGAATGAGTTTTTCCCCACAAAAGGGCAGAAATACTCCTCAGTTTCATCAGCTGTCCGGGTGGTTGGTCTCAGACGATCCCGCAGGTGAAGAAGCCGGATGTGGAGGTCCTGGGCTGGTGTGGTTACACGTGGTCTGCTGTTGTGAGGGTGGTTGGACGTACTGCCAAATTCTCTAAAATTATGTTGGAGGCGGCTTATGGTAGAGAAATGAACATTCAATTCTCTGGCAAAAGCTCTGGTGGACATTCCTCCAGCCAGCATGCCAATTGCACACTCCCTCAACTTGAGACATCTGTGGCATTGTGTTGTGTGTTAAAACTGCACATTTTAGAGCGGTCTTTTATTGTCCACAGCACAAGGTGCACCTGTGTAATGATCATGCTGTTTAATCAGCTTCTTCATATGCCACACTTGTCAGGTGGATGGATTATCTTGGCAAAGGTGAAATGCTGACTAACAGGGATGTAAACAAATGTGAGAGAAATACTGTAAGCTTTTTGTGCATATGGAACATTTCTGGGATCTTTTACTTCAGCTCATGAAACATGGGACCAACACTTTACATGTTGCGTTTATATTTTTGTTCAGTTGACATCGTACAGTTCAGGCTGGATTTTATTTATCTCTAGAGAAACAATGTGCAATTTGCGCATTGAGCCCACAGAAAAAAACACAAACTAAATTTAATTCAAATAATTGAACCGACGTCGGTCAATTAGTTGTTTAAAAAGCGAAAAATTATATTTTTGTTCTGTGTAGTTACTGGCTATCTAGGTCTTCAGTCAGCATGGAACAAATGGAACATTTCTGGGATCTTTTATTTCAGTTCATGAAACATGGGACCAACACTTTACATGTTGCGTTTATATTTTTGTTCAGTATAGTTTGATAGTTAGAAGCTGGTTGATTTTGACAACAATAAAAAGGTACCTGTTTGCTGAGATGGTACGCCATTTCTCTGTTGCGTTGCTCCATGGCAAAACTCTTCTGTTTGGCCTGGTCTTCCCTCTCGTACCCCGGTGCCCTACCGTACCCCCCCTCTCTAGCCCAGGGGGAGTGGGGTTCGCCTCCCCCACACATCGACAGCACCCTCCCTAACAGGCCCTGCTCTGCCACACACAACCCCCCTGACGGGGAGAACGGACCTCCAGACAGAGACCCAGACCTCCCACCTCGGCTCCCAGGGCTGGAGCATCCCTCTTGGGAAGGGTAAGGGTCCAGGGGTCCTGGGGGGAGAGGTGGGGAGCTGGGGGTCTGAAACAAAGGTTCTTCACTGATAGGGGGCTCTGGGGGACAGGTTGGAGAAAAAGAGTAGATCAGTTCCTTACTTGCTAACTATCATTATAAACTGGATGGTTCGAGCCCTGAATGCTGATTGCCTGACAGCCATGGTATACCATGGGTATGACAAAACATTTATTTGTACTGCTCTAATTATATTGGTAAGCAGTTTATAATAGCAATAAGGCACCCCGCAATGCGTAGTGCCTAAGAACAGCCCTTAGCCATGGTATATTGGCCATATATCACACCTCCTCTGGCCTTATTGCTTAATCATACCACATGATTATGGGGTTGTTGTAAGACACTTACTGTTGTCTAGGTGTGCAAAGGCACAGAAAGGGCCTCTGGGGCAGCTGCCACACTGTTGCATGTCATTACACCTGGAGGATTTATAGATCTGGAGGGGAACATCAGACAAACAATCATTGAACATAGAGTTCTGTCTCGTGTTAAGCAAATGTTGCTAACTCGTACTTTGGCACAGCATCTGCCAATGCTATAAATGGATGACGTAGTTATGTTTTGAGATGAGGAGCTCGTTTCTAAAGTTAGGATGGACCTCACCACGTACCTCAGGGTGAAACTGCTGCTCGCTACGTGTGTGGCAGTACTGGCATCCCTCTTCACCTTCACACTTACTGGGGTCTCCCCACTCCTCACTGTGCTTCACAGCTGGGCACGGCAGCGCTCTGGAGAGAGAGAGAGACAGAGAGAGAGAGAGAGAGAGAGAGAGAGAGAGAGTAGTGTTGAAACCTACCAAAAAACAATTAGGAAACAACAAATTCAATCCATTCTAGACAACTTCCTGGACAAAACGTTCCACTGTAATAGTGAAGGTGTAAACTTGGCAGTAGAAAACCTAAACAGTATATTTGACCTCTCAGCTTCCCTATCAAATCTAAAAATCTCTAACAGAAAACCAAAGAAAAGTAATAACAGTGATAAATGGTTTGATGAAGAATGCAAAAACCTAAGAAAGAAATTGAGAAACCTATCCAACCAAAAACATAGAGACCCAGAAAACCTGAGCCTACGCCTTCACTATGGTGAATCACTAAAACAATACAGAAATACACTACGGAAAAAGAAGGAACAGCATGTCAGAAATCAGCTCAATGTAATTGAAGAATCCATAGACTCTAACCACTTCTGGGAAAATTGGAAAACACTAAACAAACAACAACACGAAGAGTTATCTATCCAAAACGGAGATGTATGGGTAAACCACTTCTCCAATCTTTTTGGCCCTATAACAGAGAACAAACAGCAAAAAATATACATGATCAAATGCAAATCTTAGAATCAACTATTAAAGACTACCAGAACCCACTGGATTCTCCAATTACATTGAATGAACTACAGGACAAAATACAAACCCTCCAACCCAAAAAGTCCTGTGGTGTTGATGGTATCCTCAATGAAATGATAAAATACACAGACCACAAATTTCAATTAGCTATACTTAAACTCTTTAACATCATCCTTAGCTCTGGCATCTTCCCCCAATATCTGGAACCAAGGACTGATCACCCCAATCCGCAAAAGTGGAGACAAATTTGACCCCAATAACTACCGTGGGATATGCGTCAACAGCAACCTTGGGAAAATCCTCTGCATTATCATTAACAGCAGACTAGTTCATTTCCTCAGTGAAAACAATGTACTGAGCAAATGTCAAATTGGCTTTTTACCAAATTACCGTACGACAGACCACGTATTCACCCTGCACACCCTAATTGACAAACAAACAAACCAAAACAAAGGCAAAGTCTTCTCATGCTTTGTTGATTTCAAAAAAGCTTTTGACTCAATTTGGCCATGAGGGTCTGCTATACAAATTGATGGAAAGTGGGGTTGGGGGAAAAACATACGACATTATAAAATCCATGTACACAAACAACAAGTGTGCGGTTAAAATTGGCAAAAAACACACACATTTCTTTCCACAGGGCCGTGGGGTGAGACAGGGATGCAGTTTAAGCCCCACCCTCTTCAACATATATATCAACGAATTGGCGAGGGCACTAGAACAGTCTGCAGCACCCGGCCTCACCCTACTAGAATCTGAAGTCAAATGTCTTCTGTTTGCTGACGATCTGGTGCTTCTGTCACCAACCAAGGAGGGTCTACAGCAGCACCTAGATCTTCTGCACAGATTCTGTCAGACCTGGGCCCTGACAGTAAATCTCAGTAAGACAAAAATAATGGTGTTCCAAAAAAGGTCCAGTTGCCAGGACCACAAATACAAATTCCATCTAGACACCGTTGCCCTAGAGCACACAAAAAACTATACATACCTCGGCCTAAACATCAGCGCCTACAGGTAACTTCCACAAAGCTGTGAACGATCTGAGAGACAAGGCAAGAAGGGCCTTCTATGCCATCAAAAGGAACATAAAATTTGACATACCAATTAGGATCTCGCTAAAAATACTTGAATCAGTTATAGAACCCATTGCCCTTTATGGTTCTGAGGTCTGGGGTCCGCTCACCAACCAAGAATTCACAAAATGGGACAAACACCAAATTGAGACTCTGCATGCAGAATTCTGCAAAAACATCCTCCGTGTACAACGTAAAACACCAAATAATGCATGCAGAGCAGAATTAGGCCAATACCCGCTAATTATCAAAATCCAGAAAAGAGCCGTTAAATTCTATAACCACTTAAAAGGAAGCGATTCCCAAACCTTCCATAACAAAGCCATCACCTACAGAGAGGTGAACTTGGAGAAGAGTCCCCTAAGTAAGCTTGTCCTGGGGCTCTGTTCACAAACACAAACAGACCCCACACAGCCCCAGGACAACAACAACAACACAATTAGACCCAACCAAATCATGAGAAAACAAAAAGAGAATTACTTGACACATTGGAAAGAACAAACAAAAAAACAGAGCAAACTAGAATGCTATTTGGCCCTAAACAGAGAGTACACAGTGGCAGAATACCTGACCACTGTGACTGACCCAAACTTAAGGAAAGCTTTGACTATGTACAGACTCAGTGAGCATAGCCTTGCTATTGAGAAAGGCCGCCGTAGGCAGACCTGGCTCTCAAGAGAAGACAGGCTATGTGCACACTGCCCACAAAATGAGGTGGAAACTGAGCTGCACTTCCTAACCTCCTGCCAAATGTATGACCATATTAGAGACACATATTTCCCTCAGATTACAGCGATCCACAAAGAATTCGAAAACAAATCCAATTTTGATAAACTCCCTTATCTACTGGGTGAAAAACCACAGTGTGCCATCACAGCTGCAAGATTTGTGACCTTTTTGCCACAAGAAAAGGGCAACCAGTGAAGAACAAACACCATTGTAAATACAACCCATATTTATGTTTATTTATTTTCCCATTTGTACGTTAACTATTTGCACATTGTTACAACACTGTATATATACATAATATGACATTTGAAATGTCTTTATTCTTTTGAAACTTCTGAGTGTAATGTTTACTGTTAATATTTATTGTTTATTTCACTTTTGTTTACTATCTACTTCACTTGCTTTGGCAATGTTAACACATGTTTCCCATGCCAATAAAGCCCTTAAATTGAATTGAATTGAAATTGAGAGAGAGAGAGAGAGAGAGAGAGAGAGCGAGAGAGACAGAGATAGACAGAGAGAGAGAGAGAGAGAGAGAGAGAGAGAGAGAGAGAGAGAGAGAGAGAGAGAGAGAGAGAGAGAGAGAGAGAGAGAGAGAGAGAGAGAGACAGAGACAGAGACAGAGACAGAGACAGAGAGAGACAGAGAGAGAGAGAGAGAGAGAGAGAGAGAGAGAGAGAGAGACAGAGAGAGCGACAAAGAGAGACCACACTTTATTATTGTTTTTGGGACACAACAAGTAAACAAAAACAGATGGTTCAAGCCATATCACATGTGTGTGTCAAATGGATGTGTGCATGTTTTGTACCTGTATTTGTGTGTGTGTGGACTACGCCGCCTGTCTTTGCTGTTGTGGTAGTAGGGACAGGCGTAACCTTGGCGACACAGACGAGGAGGTTTTTTACACAGATCTGTCTTGTAGCGGGACAACACATAGTTGTTATCTACAGAGAGAGAGAGAGCGAGAGAGAGAGCGAGAGAGAGAGACACAGAGGAGGGAGGGAGAGAGAAAGAAGAGAGAAGAGAGAGAGAGAAGATTGTATTAGCATTGGAATCATGGCCTTCATACTGTACGGAATCTTCCTAGGTCAGTTAAAGGATGTAATGTGTTGTGTGTATAGTCGTACCCTGCCAACGGGGTTCCTCACTCAAGATCTTCTCAATGAGGGCGGTACTGGCCGCCAGCCCCGACTGGCCCTCCCCTTCTCCTCCCTCTGCAGCCCCCGACCCCCCCTGAGACTCTATCACCTGCACCTCCCTGGAGAGGGGGACGAGACCAGTTAGAAACAGAACAATGAAACAGACAAAGAGCTTAGACTACAAGATTGAGACCCCATCTGTGGCTTTGGGTCATTACATTGTATGACGCGTCTCTACTCTACCTGATGTCGTAGACGGGACATCGTAGGTCATGTGATCCGTGTGCAAAGGCGCAGTGGGAGCCGTTCTTACTGCAGTGGCCCTTCCCGTCCGTCTCGTGGATACAGGAACCTGTCTTATAGTATCTCAGATGGTACCTCCGCTCTGTGTCGCCCGCCGTACGATGCAGGAACGGACATCTGGAAATCACACCATAGAGAGACACAATTATTGTAAATGATAAAAACATACATGGGAAAACAACGTACACATCTTGATGGGTTACGTGATATTGGCTCAGAGCTACCGTCTTCATCATTAGTTTTCCCCTTGTGTGTGTTAATAGTTTGACAGTGTGAAAGTGATAATGTGTCAGCACTTCTCCTGATCTGACTGAGTTGGCCCGGAGGTGGGGAGAGTGGTGCTGCTTTCAGCTGCAAATCACAGCAGTCAACAGCCATCACTTCAGCTATTCACCGGAATGGTTACAGGTGCTAGTCGTTAGTGGGCGTATCCTCTCACTTCATTGATAAACAGTACCCTCAATCTGAAAATAAATCCCAATCCCAGGTGCTTTATAATAATAAAATAATATGCCATTTAGCAGACGCTTTTATCAAAAGCATTTTTTTTTTTTCTGTATGGGTGGTCCCGGGGATCGAAACCACTACCTTGGCGTTACAAGCGCCGTGCTCTACCAGCTGAGCTACAGAGGACCACAGAGGAAGTTCAGTATATATTCATGTCGGGAACTCAAGGCTTGACCATTCTTTTGCCCCAAAAACATTGGCTTTATTGAAGAAAACAAGACTGTCTCTGTCTATTTGCTATCTGAGTACCAATACATTAAATAAAATAAAAATCCCCAGCACACAGACACACACTCTCTCTCTCTGACACACACTCACTCGTCCCCATCAGGGCAGGTGCCTGTGCCCTCGTCGTATTTGGTGCAGTAGACGTCTGGGCTGTAGTTAAAGGTTCCGTCCCGCCTGCGGATGGGTCTGCGGCGCCGCTGGTTCAGGAAGTGCCAGTGGAAGCAGGCAAAGGGCCGGTGCTGGGTACACTTGTGCTGTACAAACAAAGGACACTGTTCTGTCCTGAACTCCTTCAGATACCTGCATGGGGGGGGGGGGGGGGCAGAGAGGGAAAGAGAGGAGATGGTGGTGATTAATGAGTAGTGTGTTAGTGCATGTCTTATATTTGACACCAAACGATAACTAAAGCAAGCTGCAGGTGTTATTGCAACTATGTTATTATTTATTTTTATTTTATTATTTTATCGCAACTATGTTGCAGATGTAAACATGTCCCTCTAACTCTCTCAGAAACACAGACACACAAAGATAACTTATGGGCCATTAGACCAACCATTAAATCAAATCTTATTAGTGTCTTACATTGTAATTGTATTGCATTTTATAATATCCAGACAGAAAATGTTAACTCAGGTCAACTCTACATATGGATAGCTAAACACTGACAGCTCCCCAAACAGTCCACCTCTGCCTATCCAAAACACACCAACTCAGTCACGAGTAGGCCTCTAGAACGGGTACACACTAATCCAAACCTGAGATAACTGATAGAGAATACTTTAATTCAAATCCGACATGAGCAACTGAACTAGTTCTCTTAACTTCCGTGATGTTTAGGTATGTTTACCTACACACGTGAGGTTGTGCGTGTGTATATATGGTCTACGTACGTATAGTGTTGAGGTTTCTCAGGCTGTACGTGCAGGACGTTGGCGGGAGAAGTCGTGCCTCCTGCGGGCGAGGAGGAAGAGGAGGAGGAGGAAGGGCCACCGGTGGTCGTAGTCACCGACGAGGGCTGTGTATGTGTTTTCGACATCATTTTCCTCTTTAAAGCTTTAAAGCTTTTCTACCAGCGTTCTGTATCCAGTGTGCGACGAAAGTCCGCATTCTTTACTGTTGTGCGCTTGCGCCTGGTACCAGGAAGTGTAAGCAAGGACAGTACTACAGATATAACCAGATATTTCACCGGATGTATAAATGTGAAGCGTTCGGTTGGCGTTTCCACTCACTACCAAATATGGTGATGAGAAGAAGCCCAGTGGCCAGCAGTGGGAGAAGATCGAGCGAGAGTTTCTTCTTCTTCTTCTTCTATGATATAATGGCGATCCGCAAACAAACGTTAAAGGTGCATGCCGCCAACTACTGTGCTGGAGTGTGTGGTCAATCACGGTTTACAACATTTCTAAATCCTCCTACCTAACTCAGTACTTCTGAGAAAATAAAGAAGAGCCCTACTAACTTCTAATAGACCCTCCCCCATCCCACAAAATCCCTTCCAACCCCGTCCAACCTCAATGACCCTACACTTCAATCTTTCCCTCTCTTCAACATACTTACAACAATATAACAACACATGCTCCACCGTTTCATCGACCATACACTCCAGACACAAACCATACACATGCTTGCCAACCAGATGTAATGACGAGTTCAATGTACAATGGCCTAAGCGCAATTGAGCAAACACCACATCTTCCTTCCTAATACAACTATTGAATCTTGGTCCATCAACCTTTCTTTGAAGGGCATATAAATGCCGGCCCTTGGGCTCAGAGTCCCATCTCTTCTGCCGCACATTTGGCCTTACCTCTACCCAGTGGAACATTAATATAAATTATATCTCGTTTCAAAGCTCTTTTGGCTAACTGGTCTATAATTTCATTCCTTTCCACACCCTGAATGTGCTGGGACCCAGCAGAATCTAACTATGACACCCATTCTCTCAATTCTCCATAATAACATTAATACCTCCAATAGCAGGTCACTCCTATTAGATTTACCAGATGATAAACTATTCAATACAGACAGGGAATCTGACCATACTATCATTCTAACAGGTTGTACGTCCTCCACCCACTGGAGGGCAACAACTATCGCCAGAAGTTCAACTGAGTATACTGACAGTTCATCTGTTAGTCTTCTACATATCTGCACATCAAATTCAGGAACGTAAACGCCTGCTCCTGTGCGGCCCACTATCTGGGTCCTTGGATCCATCTGTGAAAAGAGGTAAAAAAGCATAAACACTTCTACCAATGTAATTGTCAACCAGTTTCCCTATATCACTGACTTCTGACCAATCTTTCCTTTTCTCTACCAAGGTTAGATCAACAGGATCTGGGAGTAACCATGGAGGAACGTCCCCTATCAGCACAGAAGGACCAACCTCCAGCTCCCTCAAACCACTCTCATCAGCAAGCTTTCCAACTGTCCGACCAAAACCACTGCCTTGTCTACTAGTATATTCCCAACAGTCATCTAGAACAGTATCAGTGGGATGGTCAACCTCACAGCCTTTCAACCTAACCCAATAAGCTAATGATAATTTTTACGCCGTATATCCAAAGGCATCTCTCCTGCCTCCACTAGTAAGGCACATACAGATGTTGATTTAAATGCACCAATACATATCCTTAAAGCTATATTCTGGATTCTGTCCAGCCTCTGAAGCCAAGTCTTCGCCGCTGTTCCATAAACTATACACACGTAATCAATTGTCATCCTGATCAGAGTTTTATAAATATCCATCAATGATTGTCTATCAACACCCCATTCATAACCAGAGACCGACCGCATAAGATTCACCACCTTCTTACACTTTGTTTTAACATTTATGACATGATCTTTCCATGTATATCGCTCATTGAACAATAGACCCTAATATTTATCCTTAGAAACCCTCCCCATAGGCTGTCCATACAGAAACAACTGGATATTATCAGCAACTTTCTTCTTCGAGAAGAACATACAACAATACTTTGCCACTGACAATTTAAAACCCCAGTCAATCGACCATCTTTCAACATCCACTATAGCTTGTTGAATAGATTTGATCACATGAGAGACATTCCTTCCCCTCTTCCAAATAGCTCCATCATCAGCGTATAGGGAAGCCCCAATACCCCTAACCTACATTCGAAAACATATCGTTAATCATAATGTTGAACAAAATAGGACTGATAGCACTGGCTTAAGGAATACCATTGTCTACTCAATAGCCATCAGATCAAATGGATCCTATTTTAACTCGAAAAGAGCGATTTAAATAAGAAGGCCAAAACCCAGTTATATAATCTCCCACCAATACCAAGTCTTTCCATCTTAATCAGTAGGCCTTCTCTCCACATAGTGTCATAAGCCTTTTCAATGTCAAAAAGACAGTAGCCATTACTTCTTTCATGACCAGAGTTTTTTCAACTTCATTGCTCACCTTTACTAATGCATCCAAAGTAGATCTACCTTTACGGAATCCACTTTGACATTGACTCAATAAACCTCTATGTTCCAGTAAATATGACAATCTGTTGACTATCATCTTTTCCATCAGTTTACACAAGTTAGAGGTCAGTGCTATTGGTCTGTAACTATCAGCATATGAAGGGTCCTTACCAGGCTTTACAAAATATATTACTGCACGTTTCCAACCAAAAGGTATAAACCCCTCACTCCAAATCTTATTAAATAATCCAAGGAGAACATGTATGACCTCATCAGGTAGATGCTTAAATATTACATAGCACAACTGATCATGACCTGGGGCTGTACATCCACAGCCTATTAAGGCTGAACAGATCTCATGGACTTGGTCTTTTCCCAAATAGGGCTATCTTCTGTATACCACCCCTACCTTGTCACAACACAACTGATTCCACAAATTAATTTTTAACAAGGCACACCTGTTAATTGAAATGCATTCCATTTTCTGATTGGTTAAGCACATTTTTTGTAACTATTGGCTATTTTTGCAAAACTCTACACACAAATAAGAAAACCTTTCACCCAATTATCAAAACATTGTAGTTCTCTTGCAAAAGCGAACACTTAAAAATTGTGTTTTCGTATCAAACAGTAAACACAAGCCATCATCTACTAAGCACACAATGTGCCAACTACACACTGATGGTATGAATACAAAACACATCTGGCTTTTGCTTTCTCTGTGTACAGATGTCAATTTGAGGTCATACTTTTGTCATAGTGTCATGTAAACATACAAGGATCCAAACTTCAAGTATTGGTGTTTATTCACACTCATCAAAACCAAGACAAAGTCAGAACACAAAATAGTAATTTCACAAAAAAAAGAAAAACAATCAGCCTACATCATGTCGTTTTTCTGGGTCCGGCCACAAAATTTCGTCCACATCGCATGCGATATCCTCCAGTCCAAGGCACCGGGGAAAATATCTCCTTGAATGCCGTATCCAGGCCTGACATGATGCCTGGTCAATATCTCCACATGCCTCCTCCATTGCCTGTAAAAGGGCTACCTGTTGATGAGGATGACGGTCGTACACTTTCCAGCGCCAGGCAGAGAAGAACTCCTCGATGGGATTTAAGAATGGAGAGTATGGAGGGAGGTTGAGTGCCATGAAGAATGGGTGGTCTGTAAACCAGTTGCGGACCAAAGCAGCCCTATGGAAACTAACATTGTCCCATATGATGACATATCGGGTATGCTCTGGTCTCTGAACAGTGAGCATGTCATGTAAGGTGTCCAGGAATGCAATAATGTGTGCAGTGTTGTATGGGCCTAAGGTTGCATGATGGTGAACAACACCATTTTGGCTTAAAGCTGCACACATGGTTATGTTACCACCATGTTGTCCTGGGACATTGATGATGGCACGTGTCCAATAATGTTCCTGCCACGTCTCCTGGTTTTACTGAGGTTAAAACCGGCCTCATCTACAAAAAGTAGCTCATGTCCCATGGCATCTGCTTCTAGTTCCATCACTCTCTGGACAAGACAAAACAAATGCAACACATCAGGCCCATGCACAGCACTACAGTATGCACTTCCGAATTCAGAACCAATGACACTATAGCTTACCTGCACATAGTCATATCGCAGTTGCTTTACACGTTCTGTGTTTCTCTCGAAAGGAACTCTGTAAATTTGCTTCATTCTTATTCTGTGGCGCGCAAGTACACGACTTAGTGCAGAAATACTTACACTGTGTATATTTTGAAAGATGGTGTCATTATCAATTATGCGCTGCTGTATTTCGTGCAGTCTTATTGCATTATTGGCAATCACCATGTTCACTATATGGGTCTCTTGCTGTGGAGTGAACATTCTTCCTCTGCCCCCAACATCTGGACGTCTAGCAATTCTGTAAAGTAACAATTTCAGTATTTTTGCATGTATGGTACTGTTGTGTTTCTCATTAGAGTATGGCAGTGCTACAAAGTAGTTACCGATTCTCATTTCGAAATGTCCTAATGATGCTTGCCACAGTGTAGCGGCTCAAATTAGGCTGAACCCGTTGGCCAGCTTCCCTCAGGGTCATCCCATGGTTGATGACATGGTCCACTATTGTAGCTCTGATGTCATCAGTTATTCTATTTCTTACTCTTCTTACCCTTCCTCTTTCCCCTCCTTGTCCTCTTCCTCTAACTTCCTCTAACCCTCTCGCTTCTTCAACTCCACGTCCTCTTCCTCCAACTTCTTCAACTCCACGTCCTCTCCCTCAGGCCTCCTCGGCCTCCTCTGATTCTCCCTCTTCTCCCTCTTACTGTTCCTTCCATTGTACTCCACACAGACAGCTTACCTGTGGCTTATTTATAGTGCTTAGGCTGATTGCAAAGTGAACTAATTATCTACAACAGTTTTCACATGTGCAAGTGTGCCAGACAGTTGGCAAAATAGTGTTAATGATAGCCATACATGTGTATAATTTTGCTAGGAGTGTGTTGGAAATTTGGTAATTGAGTGTAAGCAGTGAGTTGTGTTTAAAGTTCTGCAAAAAGAGTGTTGTGCAGTGAATTGTGCCTACAGTTTTGCAAAGTGTGTGTTACAAAATTGTAAACTGAGTGCAAAGCAGTGTTTGTGCTTTTAGTTTTGCAAACTCAGTGAGTGGTTTTGCTATACGTATTAATAGTTTTAGAAATTGTGCTACAAGAATCACGATTAGCGCTTAAGCATTCAGAAAAAACTGTAACATGAGTATTTAAAATCTCACACCTGCATTGCTTATATACTTCATCCAAAGTAACCCCACTATGTACCCTAGCAAATGTCTTCCCCAACAAGTCAGCTTTTTCTTGATCATTTCTGCCAATTTTTTGACCCACAACCAAAACTTGCTTCTTCCAGTCATCTTCTTCAACATAGACCATACATCCCCCAGCTCAGTACCCCTGCCTATTGTAGAGCAGAACTGTCTCCATGCATTACTCTTGACAGACTTAATGACCCTATGTACTAAAGCTCTCTTCCTTTGGAAACCAACTAGATTCTCAGGAGTCATATTCCTACGCAACACTCTGTAAACCCTACTTATTTCTCGAAGTTTTCTGTTCCCAAAACTAGAATCTGTTACGAACAGAGTTGACTAAGTTTCGTGTATTTTTTACCCTTTGCCAAAGTTTTAAAAAAAATAATAAAAAAAAACCTTGTTTAGGAGTGCAAGGGCAAACTGAGTTACTGCCCACGCACATTTCACAGAGTAGGCGTTCCTTCCCTAACGGAAATATGCAAATACATGCTAGAACGCCCCAATAGGATATCGTTAGCTTGTACTTGGCGCTGATTCCTTGTTATGCCATTTGTTCCCATTGGAAACGAAAGGCTGTGATCTATCTTGGGTTAGTTATACAGATCTTTGACATTACAAATATGGGGTTTGCTAAGAGCTGTGGGATATGTAGTTAAATGGTGTCTTGTCTCATTTGCTTTGAAACTGCAGCGTGTGGAGGAGTCAGAAATATCATTTAAATAAAAATAAGTGTCTTTATTCTATGGAGCATACATTACGTTGTACTTGACGTTTGAGTCAAACATACGAAATGTGTGCTGCTCTGTGCAAACCAAAGCACTTCACCAAAACCTGTGCAAAAATACCAACATTACATGCTTTTCCTGTGTGTGGTCATAAACTGTTACAAAACATCCCTAAAATTTCTAAACAGAGAATTTGAGAACAGAAAACCACAATGTTGTGAACAACATTCAGACATCCAAGTGAAAATTATATTAGGGACAAATGAGACTGTACAAATCTCGTTCGAAGGTCGAGAAAAAAAAATGGATATTTTATTGCAGTCATGTCTGCTCAGCCAAAAAGCCATGACCATATCAACACTCACTGTCTGATACTGTGTATTCCAATTGATTTGCAGGTTTAGTCTTATAAGCCAATTGATAATACAAAGTAAGCTAATTGATACAACAACAATCCTGGTCGTTCACGAGCAATATGATCATGATACCATGGAAAAACAATCATTGCACTCTAACTAAGATTGTCCTTCAAGTCACAGCATTGTTAGAACATGTTGAGACATGTTTCAGAATAACATTTTGTTAAAACAACAATGTTTCTATTTTTTTTTTGCAATATTTTCAACACAAGTATTTCGCTATATTATTTCGGTTGCTATGATTGGCTACAGAGGACAGAAAATAACCAATGGGATGTTTGATTTGGTTAACCAATAAGTGAGCCACTTTGATGGATCTTTAACCAATGGTCTTACGAGTTTCTCGTTCTCAACCAACCGGCTTTAGAAATTGCTTTGTTGACGTCATGGGAAAGTATAAATATTGATTCATCACAGTTTTTTTTTCACTAGTCGCGTTGTGTGTCTCAACGAAGAGGAATACGGTCTGCTGGTCCGCCTGTCAAAGTTTTGGAATAATCCAACAGTTACAATACGGTGAGTGACTTTAGCTTTTTTGATAGTTGTCTTTCCATTCACAAAGAGTTGAAATAGTCCTCGGTTGACCTGCCAGGGGAGTTTGTCTGTAACGGCTAAATATAGCTAGAACAATAGAAATCCCAACCGAGATGTGTGAGATGGCTGCCGGCTAACGCTAGCTAACTAAATTATTCTACCGATATCAGAAATGTGTAGGTTAGTTTCATTATGCCACGTTTTCGCCATGTTAATTAGCTAACAGTCGTCTTCCCTCTACCTTGGCTGGCTAGCTGTGACTCAATACAACGGTTCAACCAGCGTGGGGTTTCTATGGCTGTTCCTAGCTAACGTTAGCGGTAGTGCTAACACTAGGTCAGTCGTCGGTCAGAAGTTGTAACTAATATCAGTTGATTTCGACAATGATTTCGTTCTGATGGCGTTTTCCTCCTCCCCAATGCGTAAGTACAAGTCGACACTAGTAATGTTGGCTCAAACTTTCACGATTAGTTGTATTAATTCGATTTATGCTGTTCGTGCCCGCTCAAACGAACAAAGACTGCAGTGCAATTTACGCAATGTTGGCAACTGGGCCGAGGCAGCAAGCTGAGGAAAGGAAGGCGGGGTGGTGTTCATAATCGAGCGCGACTGGACCCAACGAGGCGCCTCCAGCGGTGCATTTACGCTAGATGTGGGGGAGGGGAATATTGAAATGGAAATAATTGTTACAATGACGCTAAATTGTTTCAGGCATTGCAACTATTGTCACTAATTATCAAAAGTGATGGGGACAACAGTTGGCTACATTTGTGTAAAGCGTTTATGGCTGCAACATTTTAAGCGTTGTTGCTTGTTTGTAGAAACTAAGTTTTTTGCGTCTTTAGCCGCCTTTTCACATCGACCGAAAAATGTAATGTCGTTTTTGAAGGCATTTCAAATTCTTATCGGCCTGCCTTTGACTATTTGTTTGTCCTAGTGAGAAATGGCTCGTACCAAGCAGACCGCCCGTAAGTCCACCGGAGGAAAGGCGCCAAGGAAGCAGCTCGCCACAAAGGCAGCCAGGAAAAGCGCGCCATCCACCGGAGGAGTGAAGAAGCCCCATCGTTACAGGTACTTAGAGCAGTTCAACCTGTTCTCCCAACATTTGTTTGTCTGTGTGTAGATGTAACATGAGGGAAGTGGTTCACTAACAGGTCTAGTTTTAGAATGAATACTCATCTCCTAAGTCAGTCTAACGTTGTACTGTTTTGTACCCCAGGCCAGGAACCGTGGCTCTGAGGGAGATCCGTCGTTACCAGAAGTCTACTGAGCTGCTAATCCGCAAGCTGCCCTTCCAGCGCCTGGTGAGAGAAATCGCCCAGGACTTCAAGACAGACCTGCGTTTCCAGAGTGCTGCCATTGGCGCTCTTCAGGTAAGATCACCACTGACTGCTGCTACCACACATATAGATATGTATCTGAAGGCTAATGGATGGCGTGAACAGGAACTCTTATTTTCTTAATCCCATGATTGGTCAATTTGTCCCTACTGTTTTCTCTTCCTTCTCTCCACCAGGAGGCCAGTGAGGCATACCTGGTGGGTCTGTTTGAGGACACCAACCTGTGCGCCATCCACGCCAAGCGTGTCACCATCATGCCCAAAGACATCCAGCTGGCTCGCAGAATAAGGGGAGAGAGGGCCTGAAAGGCCTGCCCGCTCCAGACACAGAATCCTATTTATCACACTTAACCATTTTGTGAATTTTTATTATTTCTTTGAGATTTTGTTTCCTTTTGTAATGCATTTTAGAATGAGGTTAACGTCAGTCATTCCACAACAAACATGATTTCAGATATGGCTAGTGTGCAGATTGGAATGTTGTAGGAATATCGTCTTGGCTTCAATTGCAAGTGAGGCTTGTTTTTACGTTTAGTAGAGGATAGAAAGTGTTACATGACTGTCGCCATATTTACTCCAGTCAGATGGCCTCGTCACATGTTAACTGGCAAATGTGGGGTCCTGGTAGGTAGTACAGGCTCTAGATGAGGTTGGTGCTCGTGAAGTAAAGAGCGGATTTTGTTCTGTCCGGGTGGGTGGTGTCAGGGTCTTTCATCCATTTCCACCCTTTGTCACGGCAGTCTGCCAGCATGTCTTGCATAACAGCTCACTCCTAGTATTCCATAGTGGTGTCAGGGGGATTGTCTGCACAGTTACTCCTCCTGACGCTGTCTGGGACGGCCAGGAGCATGACCAGGACTCCCTGTATATTCTGGACTGTTTTTTACAATGTTATTTTTCCAACATACAACAAACTTTGGCAGCTACATTTTAATATTTATGAGTGTCACATTGTCTTTCTATTAAATGTCTTTACAAGTAAATGCTTGTTTTGGTTCTTGTTGAGGATTTCTTTATCCACTAGGGGCTTTTACAGTTGATAGTCCTGTTGGATGTTTCTTCTATTGCAATTATACCTGGAAGACAAATTGCTGTACTACATGGGTTTTGACGTCAATACAGGCACAGAAAATTAAGTTCGCAACATCGTTTGCCATGTATCCAGTTGTAGCTGTATTTCTTGTCATATGAACCATTGAGCTTAAGTAGCTGTAGAAGGGGAAAATGCATTTCAATTAATAAATCTAAATTGAAAGACCTCCCCCATCCTAATATTACATTTCCTTCACCACATCCCTGCACCAGGAAGTAATCATACCAGAGGTATTAAATGTTCATTATACTCAGCGACGCAGTTGAATTCCGCGCTGGCTCTGAGCACCACATAGCAGAATCCTGTTGCGTTTCTGGGGTGTCTCAAACAGCCACTCGCATGCTCCAGAATGTTTTAAGGTCCTGAAGTCATTCTGATTGCCATGTAAAATAGCCTTTTGGATGACATCACCCATATTATTTGGGGATTGAAATGCTACCATTTGAGTACTTTGTTGCTCCTGGTTAATGAATACTGTGATTACAGGGTGACACAGATCATAATAAACGACTTAACGGTCCTGAACAACTTCTCCCTCAATGTGATCAAGACAGGAGGTAATTGTGGACTACAGGGGGGAAAAAATAGGACTGAGTATGTCCCCATTCTCATCGACAGGGCTGTAGTGGAACAGGTTGAGCTTCAAGGTCGTAGTTGTCCACATCAACAAACTATCATTGTCCAAACACACCAAGAGTTGACAAGGGCACGACAAACCCTATTCCCCCTCAGGAGACTGAAAAGATTTGGCATGCATCGAAGTTCTACAGCTGCACCATCGAAAGCATCCTGACTGGTTGCATCACCGCCTGGTATGGCAACTGCTCGGCCTCTGACCGCAAGGCACTACAGAGGGTAGTACATACGGCCCAGTACATCACTGGGGCCAGGCTTCCAGCCATCCAGGACCTCTATACCAGGCGGTGTCAGAGGAAGGCCCTAAAAATTGTCGAAGTGCCGGTACCCCACTGTATATAGTCTCCCTACTGTTATTTTATTTTACTGCTGCTCTTTAATCTATTTTTTTTACTTACCACTTATTTTTCTTAAAACTGCATTGTTGGTTAAGGGCTTGTAAGTAAGGATTTCACTGTAAGGTCTACACCTGTTGTATTCGGTGCATGTGGCAAATTTGATTTGATTTGAACAGTCATTCTGAAAAGTACTTTTTCTCTCATGCTAACGATCAGGAAGTTCGAAAAGACAGACTGAATGGGTGGGGACCTTGTATTCATGAGCTTGCCTTGACTGACAGCTCTTTAAAACAGCCTATGTCAAGCAACTTGGATGCAGTGTTGCAGTAAAATCAAATGTCAAATATTTTTTATATATCTCCCGTTTGGCATGTCTCTTGTGATGCGGTTCACAGCAGCACTGATGGATGTGTTGACATGACAACTGCGTCAGAGTTTTGAACAACCCGTCCCCTCATTTTGTTCCATGCTGGCTGAAGACCTAGCTAGCCAGTAACTAGCTAACACCAGACACAGATGAAGACCTAGCTAGCCAGTAACTAGCAAACACCAGACACAGATGAAGACCTAGCTAGCCAGTAACTAGCTAACACTATACACAGATGAAGACCTAGCTAGCCAGTTACTAGCTAACACCAGACACAGATGAAGACCTAGTTAGCCAGTAACTAGCTAACACCAGACACAGATGAAGACCTAGCTAGCCAGTTACTAGCTAACACCAGACACAGATAAAAGGGGAGACATAAGGATCTTTGCCATAGATGAATAGTATAAACATTTAATTATATTTGCTGACACCCTACAGTCAAATTTTGCCATCAGTAGAGTAGCTATCTAGCTTTATAAACCACGCCCCTCTGCAAACACGCCTTCTCAGATGTTGGTTAGAAGGCAGTACTTATTTAAATTAAGTACGAGAATATTGGTGTATTAAAATGAGAGTTAGGGTGATGTCACACTATGCCCTTAATAATCCCGCCTCCTGAATCCAACTGTTTGACATGGGGGAGGGGACCAGTAACTTTATGATCAAACTTTATCAATGTAGAAGCAACAGTCATTGGTCATCATACTTTGATCTGGTTTAATCCAAATATCATCAAATTTCATGAAAAACATGGTTTTGACTGTTCATGATCATTAAGGTAAAGATGGGGGTGGGTAAACTGATCCTAAATCTGTGGTTATGGGCGGTAGTTTAGAGAAAAGCTTGACAGTCAATAGGTTTTGACGGGGAAAAAAACGTGACGAGCTTGGAGAGGCCAGGGTTACAGGTATAGAAGTTGGGTTTTGTAGAAACGCCATCAGTGCGTGTTCTGCAAACAGTACAGCGGAGGAAGGCGCGGTGATGGACAGTGAGGAAGAAGGAGAAGAGCTGAGTGTAGTGGGAGATGTAGTGTGTTGAGGAAGAATGGCTCCAGACATAATAAAGAAGAATCTGGCCCAGTAGGAGTGCCATTTTTGGAGAAAGTGGACCTTTGCCTTTTGGTGGATCCATTTGTGGTTTCAGGGAGGGTGAGAAAGAAGTTGGATGCAGTTGAAACAGTGAAGGTAACCTGTAGTGGACTTGTGATATTTCTTTGTGTTTCTTCTGACCAGAGGGAGCAGGCGCTCCATGTCACGCAACTTGGGTAAATATCTGTTTCTTGATTTGCTCTTAGAAACAGGACACCATTGAAAGGAATGATTTCTGGGGTAATGTGGAGGTGGAGCAATTGAAGTTGAAAATTTCTGGTGTTTGTGACGCCCGCTGTTTGGTGCGACGCAGACCTAGTGGGGAGCGTGGTGAAACCGAAGAGTCAATGTCAGTCCTTTTGTTTTGAGTCAGAATCTCTACCAGACAAAGTAATGTCAGGATATATCAGTTATCCTGTTAGAGCTTTTGTGCCGAATCTGTGCCGGACACTTGACTTAGCATTCATAGCAATGGTTATCAACTGTACCGGAGAAATGGAACGTAAATCACAGAAAATAGATGTTGTGGTGGCAGCTGCAGAAAGGTATTTGGGTATACAAAATTTGACTTCAGAAGTTACAGGGTGTGTTTAGGGGTGGTGTCCCGTCCTGAAATAGTGGTAAATAGGTGTAGGATTAGTTGATGGTGCAATTTTGTCCTTTTAGGGACAGGAATAATGAAGAGAATTCAATGAAGGTAGGCCTCATACTCCAGTACAGTAGGTGGCGGTGTATGCACCTTAAAGTTGGATGCCAACTTTAATCCCAAAGAAGAAGAGGACTGCCCCTGCCTGAGAACACACACAATTGTACAATGTCCAAAGAGAAGAGCATTTTATACAAATGTATGGTCTAGCTAAGGTGTGACTGTATACACTGAGTGTACAAAACATTAGGAACGCAATCAAACCAGTGCGCCTGGAAGAACCTACTACCATACCCCGTTCAAAGGAACTTCAATCTTTTGTCTTGCCAATTCACCCTCTGAATGGCACACATACACAATCCCTGTCTCAATTGTCTCAAGGCTTAGAAATCCTTCTTTAACCTGTCTCCTCCCTTTCATCTACACTGATTGAAGCGTTCACTTGGATTCACCTGGTCAGTCTATGTCATAGAAAGAGCAGCTGTTTCCCGTGTGTATCAAGAATGGTCCACCACCCTAAGGACATCCAGCCAACTTGACACAACTGTGGGAAGCTTTGGAGTCAACATTGGCCAGCATCCCTGTGGATCCCTATGCAAAAGAGGGTGCAACTCAATATTAGGAAGGTGTTCCTAATGTTTTGTACACTCAGTGTACGTTTACTATGTTACGTCTAACCCCTGAGTCCAGGTTGGATACAAACGCTACCACTGACCTGAGCACCATCCCTAGCTCACAACAGGGTACAGCGTCAAACATAACACATACACCTGGAAGACACAGACTAACAATGAGGAAGGAAAGTCATACACGGTTCTGAGAATGTACAGTGCTCATTTCAAAAGAGGGTGCAACTCAGTTCTGAAGTGAAAAGGCATAAAACATTTTTATTCTGTTTTTGCTGACGTGAGGAGTGACGTTTTGTTTTGAAAACGTTGTCTTTGCAATGTTTTTTTTATATCTTACATGCTAACATTTTGCTTTCCAACTGTGCATCAATTACATCATAATCAGAGAGGGAAGGAAACAGTTTGTAGCTCCATGTCCTGTTTGAAGTCCATTTCTGAAAGGACCATGAAAGGCTCTGAGAGAGGAAGGATATTTGACTCCGTTATCATTATTGTTGTTGGAC